ATTCTACCTGTCAAATTTCTTCCCCCCACCGATCCCCCACTCGAAAGAAAACCGTTTCGGGTTCTTTTGTGGGGTTTTGTCGATCCTTTTTTTTTTTTTTTTTTTTTTGGAAATTTTTCCCATTATCGAAATCAAGGGTAGTTTTGTGGTGATCCGGTTGATTTTCTTCCTCGTCTTGCCCCCTCCACTTTTTCCCTCTTCCCTCCCCTCTCCCACCCCCTAATAATTTAATGTTGGTTTATCACAGTGTTAAAAAAAAAAAAAAAAAAAAAAAAAAAACACGGGAAATCGCTTTTTCCGAATTACTTTTTTGTTTTACTTTATTATTATTATTATTATTATTATTATTATTATTATTATTATTATTATTTGGTTTTCCTTTTAATGGATTTTAAAAAACGTACGTCGTCCATTAAAATATAATAATAATGATGATGATGATGACGATGATGCAGTCGAATATAATTGTCGTAATTTATCGTTAACGGTATATATATATATATATATATATATATATATATATATCGGAGTCGATTTTTCCGAACGTATAAAACGAACGAATCCCTTTTCAAAAACTTTGTTTAAATCGTTTATTTCTGAGCCCCCCCTCCGCCCCGCCTCCCCCGCGTTAAAAAAAAAAGAATTTTCTCGTTGGAAAATTTTAAAGTTTTCTTTTTTTTTTTTTTTTTTTATTAAGGATGAAGAAAAATTTTAAGATAATTTTTGTTTGTCTTAAACTCAATTTTTAAAATTATTAAGAGAAGGGATAAAAGGGAAGAGGGGAGGGGAGGGGAAAACAGTTTTTCTTATTATTATTATTCTTATAAATTTTTCTTTTAATTTTTTTTTTTTTATTGGGTGCGTGTGAGTTTTCTCAAAGGAAAATTAAAACGAACGAAGGAAGAAAAGTGATGAAGACGCGGGTATAATTTTTTTTTTTTTAAATTACCGGAAATTACTTTGACGGGAATGTTCTTTTTAAAAAAAAGCGGGAAACGGGAAGGGAATAATAATAATAATAATAATAGTGAGGTGAATCTTTCGAACGGACGAAAAGAAAATGGAAAAGAATTTTTTTTTTTGTTTTTTTTTTGTTTCACTCCAAAATTTTCGTTTGATTTTTTTGTCGCGACGGAAATTTATCATCATCATCATTATTATTATTATTATTATTGTTGTTGTTGTTGTTGTTGTTGTTGTTAAGAAAAGGAAAAATACGACGTTCAAAGTTTGAACATGTGCCGAACCTTTTTTTTTATTTGAACGGCGTTCGAAATTCGAACGAGTTTTAACAACCGAACACGGAAACCGATTTATTTATATTTATGGCCTTTGCATGTTTTGTAATTATCATTATTATCATCATCATCATCATTATTATTATTATTATTATTACTTATCAAAGGCATAAATTGAAGCGGCGTAAATCAATTTTCATAAATCATTCCTTAATTACTATTATTATTATTATTATTCGCGCAAATGGAATGAAAAAAGAAAAACAAAAACAGGGGAAAAAAAAAAAAAAGGAAAAAAGAAATTTTGAAAAAACGAAGGAACGAATGATTGAATGATTGAATGATTGATTGAATGAATGAATGAATGAATGAATGAGAACATTAATTATATATATATATATAAATTTTACGCTTTCGTTTCAACATACAATTATCCGACGTTACTTTTTTCTTGCAGTTGCGGTACATCGTCCAAAAGAAAATTTTTAACGGCGGAAAAATTCGTCACGTTTCTGAACAAGACTCAACGAGATCCGCGACTGAACGAAATACTCTACCCGTATGCGAATCCGGCGAGAGCCAAAGACCTAATACAGCAATACGAAACGAACAAGATGAACGCTCAAAAGGGACAACTCAGCCTCGATGGTTTTCTTAGGTATTTAATGAGCGAGGATAATCCGATAATAGCATCGTCATCCTTTGATTTATCCGACGACATGGATCAACCGCTTTCCCATTACTTCATTAATTCTTCGCACAACACTTATTTAACAGGTAAAATAAGTACTCTGTTTGTTTGTTTGTTTGTTTGTTGTCTCTGTTTGCTCTTCTGCCCCCCCCCCCTCTCTCTTTCTCTTTCGCTCGTTTGTTTGTTTTTTCGTTAAAAGAAGTCCGGAAGGAGAGAGAGTTTTCTTCAGTCTTTATTGTTTCGCTTTTGTTAAATAAATGCATTTGTTTCGTGGAGGTGGGAGGTGGGGGGAAAGGATTTTGGAAGAGTATCCCCCCTCGCGGGGAGCAATGATAATGATAATCGTCGCGGCGGGGTGAGGGATGAAGAAGAGAAGGAAAAAGGGGGAGTAAATAGGGATCGTGTCGTTGTTACGACTTATTCATGGCTTCCAGTAAATGGCCTCCTTTAAAACGGTGATCCTCCTCCCTCCCTCCCTCTCTTCCCTCTCTCCCTCTCTTCCCTCTCTTCCCTCCCCAAAAAAAAACTTTTGGCAAAACTTTTTAAACGAAATTAAATTTCGATTTGAGTCGACGGAAGGTAGGGGGAAAAAAACTAACTAAGCTAACTAAACTACATCTGTGGGGTTTATTTTTTTTATTATTTTGATTTCCGGTCGCCATTTTTGTTTTTTATTATTATTATTATTCGCATTCCGCGAGATGATTTGAATTTTTTAAAAAAAAAAAAAAAAAAAAAATTTGTAATGAAAATAAATGACAAACACCTGGACTTTACTTGGAATATCAAGACCGATACGCAAAGTCTGGAACGATTGTGTGTGTATGTGTATCTCTCTCTTACTCTCTCTCTCTCTCTCTTTTCTTTTTATCGTGGAAGGGAAATTGACGGTGACGTATTTTCGCGCGCGGAAGCAAACAAAAATAAAAGGAAAAATTAATTTATTATTATTATTATTATTATTTATTTTGCATTAGTTAAATTAAAATATTTCCGGTTTGAAAATATATATTTTCTCGAACGACAATTATTATCATTATTATTATTATCATCATCATCATCATCATCATCATCATCATCATCATCATCATCATCATCATTACTTTAACGTTTTTTTTTGTGATTTAATTATTTCTATATTCATTTATTGAAAAAAAAATTTTTTTTTTTTCGTCTCCTATTAATGATTCGATGTGATGACGTCAGATAGGGAAGGTTCGCGAAATTTTTTTTTTTTATTCGCGCACACGACCCGAGAGGGGAAGGGATGGGAAAGAGGAGAGGGGAGGGAGAGAGACAAGGGAGAAAAAAGTAAATGAATAAATAAATAAATAAATAAATGTGTGTGTGTGTGTGTGTATTTACCTGGTGCCACGCCCGACTTTTTTTTTTTTTTTTTAATTTTTCGAAACGGAAGCGGAAGCGGCGGGGTGGACACAAAAGAGATTTTTGTGGTTTTTTTTGTTTTTTTTTTTTTTTTGGTTGTTTTTCCAGTTCCAGCGCGGTCTCTCGCGTATTAGTTACATTTTGAAAAATGTAAAACCATTTTTTATTTTTTTTTTTTTGTAAACTTGTTGACCCCGTTTTTATGGGAGGAGGGAGAAAAGGTGGGTGGGTGGGTGGGATAACAAAAAAAAATGATAGAGAGAGAGAGGAGGGAATTACGTAGTAGGAAGGGAAATGATGACAGGTTTAGAGGGAAGAGAGAGAGAGTGAGAGTAAATGAGAGGGGGGAGAGAGTAAATGAGAGGGAGGAAAGAGGGGAAGAGAGAGAGAGAGAAAGATTTCGATTTCGTCTGTCATTAAAAAAAAAAAAAAAATTTCTTTTCTTTTTCTTTTCTCTTCTATTTTTTTTCTAAATTAATTATTGCATTAAATAGTAATTGGAAAAGAAAAAGAAAATAAAAGGCGGCGGTGACGGCGTCATCGACGACGTCAACAAGCACGGAAGGTAAAGGGGGGGGGGGTGATAAAAAGATGGCGGCAAAATGGGTAAGGTAAGGGAGAAGGGGGGGAAAGAAAAAAAAATTTTCTTCTTCTTCGAAATAATTATCAAACAATTTTCCACGAGAACGATCGTCAAAGAAACAAAATGGAGTCGGAATTTTTTTTTTTTTTTAAGTAATAACAAAGTTAAATTGAAAAAGAAGAAAAATGATAATGATGATGATGATGATGATGATGATGATATTAAAGTCGTTATATTAGGAAGAAAAAGTAAATCTCGATTTTGACGAAACGTCTCAAGTTTTTTGTTTACGAAAAAAAATAAAAAAGGAAAAAAGGAAAAGATCAAAGGAAGTAGTAAAAATGGGCGGGGGGAGGGAGAGGAAAAATGAAAAAGGAAAAAAAGAGGAAGGAAGGAGGGGGAGGGGAAAAGTTTTTCCTTTTTCTCTGTCATCTTACAATTACATATATATCCTTTGATTTTTCCTTTTACATTTTCCTTTTCGTTACAAATTTTCTGGAAAATTTTTTTTTTTTTCCGTCCTTTTCTTTCCCCCCCCCCTCTCTCTCTCTCTCTCTCTCTCTCTCCTATCCAATTTCTTTACTCGTTTTATACTCTATGCTTTTGGGTAAAAACCGCGGACATTCTTTTTTTTTGTTGTTGTAATAAAGAATTTTAATACGGTTTGCCGCAGTTTTGCCGCCATCTTTTTTTTTTATTTCGGAAAAATAATTTTTGGCTTTTTTTTCCTTCTTTCTTCTTCTTTTTCTTCTTCTTCTTCTCTTTTATTGTTTCTCTCGTTTCGTTTCGGCTCTTTTTTTTTTTTGTTAACGGCACAAAATCTTCTTCCATTTCATTCTTTTTTTTTTTTTTTTTTACTTTTTTCATTATTGGATTTCGGTCAAATCATTAATTCTTTTTTTCTTCTTTCTTTTCTTTCTTTCTTTGTTTTCCCATCGAAACGATTTTTTTTTTTTTTTTTTTTGATATATTATCATTCTCCAGAAAATTTATTTATGGAGAATATTCATTCCTTGGAAAATTTTCTGGAATTTTTTTTTTTTTGGTTTTTTCCTCGAGCATTTTTTTTTTTTATTCGTCTTCGTTATTTGAATTGAATTATGTAGTTTTTTTTTTTTTTTTTTTTTTTTTGGTTAAAACAAATAATGATGATGATGATAATAATGATAGTAAAAACCCAAGAGGAAAAATCCTGTGAAAATTAATGGTGGGAGTGGCGGGAGCGTGGGCGGGTACGACGGGGGTTGGATTTGGATTTACGAAGGCTGAGGATTTCCAAGTCCCATCAGAATTTAACTTTTTTTTTTTTTTATATATATAAATCTGCTCTCTCCTTTGTGTGTCGTTCTCTCTCTCTCTCTCTCTACCTTTTTTTTTGTTTCATGGCGTTCGTTCGTCCGTTCGTCCGTTCGTTTCTTTCTTTATATCAATCAGTGTGTTTAACTCGATTAATTTTCCATTACAGTTTTTCCCCCATCGCAATATTCATTCTAACCTTTTTTCTTCTCTCTCTCTCTCTCTCTCTCTCTCTCTCTCTCTCTCTCTCTCTCTCTCTCTCTCTCTCTCTCTCTCTCTCTCTCTCTCTCTCTCTCTCTCATTACATTGGATTCTTCCTCCCCCCCTCCATCATTTTATAAAAATTTGTCGTCACACGATGGAAAATAATTTTTAATAATAATAATAATAATAATATATCGAATCGAAGAATGACGACAAATGAAAATCTGTCGCTCGTTTATTTCATCGTCGGGAAAAAAGAAAAAGAAAAAATTGAAAATTTACTATTATTATTATTATTATTATTATTATTATTATTATTATTATTATTCCTCTTTTTTTTTCTATTCGGGATTATTGCATTTGTACGATTGAGATGTGCGTGAGTGCGTAAGTGCGTGCGCGTGTGTCGATTTCGAAACGAAATGCAAAAAAAAAATTGTATTTTTTTTTTTTTTTTTTTTTTTGTTTTTCTCTCGAGATGGAAAATTTTTATTAGAAAATCAAGATGTTAAAAATTGAAATACAAATGTTGACGTCGTTTTATTACTTTTTCGAAAAAAAAAAAGGAAAAAAGAAAAAAGGAAAAAAAGGAAAAAGAAGATAATAATGATGATGACGATTTTTTTTTTGTTTAAAATGTGCGTGCGTGCGTGTCGTCGAAATTCTTAAGGCAGCATCTGTCGAAGCGTGTGATGACACGCTAAACAAAAAGTTTGAAATGATTTTCCATCTCTCTCTGTCTCTCTCTCTCTCTCTCTCTCTCTCTCTCTATTTCTGTCTATTTTGTCTCTACTATTTCCGCTTGACGAGTTAATTAATTTTCTCTTAACCGGAAACAATTCGATCTCTTACGGAAAATACTCTCACTTTCTCTCTCTCTCTCACTCGAAATTTAAAGTGTCTAAAAAAATTTTTTTTTGTTTTAGGGCATCAAATCACTGGGAAATCGTCGGTGGAAATTTACAGGCAGTGTTTGTTGGCGGGTTGCCGATGCGTGGAATTAGATTTTTGGAACGGGAGAATCGACGAACCTGTCATTGTTCACGGCTACACATTCGTGCCTGAGATAAACGCGAAAGAAGTCATTGAAGCCATAGCGGAATCCGCATTTAAAACGTCGGATTTCCCGGTCGTTCTCTCGTTCGAAAATCACTGCAATCCGAGGCAGCAAGCGAAAATTGCACAATACTGTCGGGAAATATTCGGTGAAATGCTGTTGGACACGCCGTTGGACTCGCATCCGGTTAGTTTGTCAATTTCCTCTCAAACCTGGCGAATTCAAAATTCCGACGGGAAATTGATTTTTTTTGTTTAAAATGATTTTCCAGTTAGAACCGGGTAGTTTTTTACCATCGCCGGCGGTACTCCGTCACAAGATAATAATTAAAAACAAAAAGAAACATCATCATCATCATAAGAAAAATCACGGGGGATTCAGGTCGAACACGATGGACAGCACGACGACGCCGGCGGATGTGGTGACGGGAAACGGTGACATACCACACGCGCCACCGTTGCAAACGCGACAGGGAAGCAAGGAAAGTCAAAACGAAGACGACGAAAACGGTGAGTGTCACGATAAATAAATTTCTACTGACACGTCTAGACTGACCAGTGTAGGTACGAACCCGTCGGGGGAGGGGGATTCCTATCGAAAAATTTATTTATTATTATTATTATTATTCGTTCGAATCTCATCGTCGGGATTGAATCAATACGTTGACGAGTACGAGTCGCCGTCGGATTTTAATTTTCGAAAAGTTTCGACAAAAAAAAAAATTTTTTTGTCTTCTGCTTCTTCTTTTTCTTCTGCTTTTTCTTTTTTTAAAAAAATTTTCCGTTAAATCGATTTAAAAATTTTTTTTTCGCGACGATTCTTTCTTTTTTTGTTGTTGAACGTTCGACATTTTAATTCCGTTCCCGAATTTTTTTTTTTCTTTTCCTCCTTTTATCGAATTCGAATAGTTTTTCCCTTTTGCTCCTCCTACTCCTCCCACTCTCCTCCCCCTCTTTTACATAACGCGGCGTAATAAGGAGAGGAACGTTCAGGAAAAATGAAAATGATTCATAATATTTAAAGAAAAAATTAATTTTCGTAAAAGCGGAAGTGAGTGACGCAAGTCGAATTTTGTTATAATTTCTTTTCTTTATTATTATCATTATTATTATTATTATTATTAATTGAAAAATTAAAAAAGAAGGAGGAGGAGGAAAGGAAAAGGAAAAAGAAAAAATTTTCTTTCGTTCGCGTCGGGAAATTTTTTTGTTTTTTTTTCGCTTTGTTGGCATTTTCGAGGGAAATTTTTTTTTTTTTTCTTTTCTTTTCTCTCTCTCTCTTTCTTTCTTTCTATCTATCTATCTATCTTTCTCTGTCTTTTTCTTTTGGATAAATTTTAAAGACTCCATTCAGTGCGGACGCCTGAAGCTTGACTAACTATTTAGTGCTTCAAAATTTAATAAACTTTTTTAATTTTTCTTTAGTTTTTCTCTTTCTCTTTCCCTTCTTTTTTTTCTTTCTTTCTCAAAAACAAGAAAAAAAAAAGATGGACGAAAGAAGGAAGAAAGAGAGGGAGGAAACCTAATAATAAAAAGATGATTATAAGTGTTTCGAAATTAAAAATCGTCGTCGTCGTCGTCGTTCATTTAAAACGTTGTTTAAAAAAAAACAAAATGGCGGTCGAAAAAAGATGAATCAAATTCGAACGATGACGACGACAGGGGAAAAAGGTTTCTTGTCGGTTAAAATTAAAAAATGATAATAATAATAATAATCGATTTCCCCTTTCTTTTTTCCCGCCGATATTTTAAAAATTGAAAAAAAAAAAAAATGGAAAAGGTTTTATCAAACTTAATTATGGCGCCGACGTAATAATAATCGAAAACCTTTTTCTCTTTTAATGATTTTCCATTTTGGAAAAGACAACGGCTGGAGAAAGAGAAAGAAAGAAAGAAAGAAAAAAAGAAAAAAAGGAAATTTATAGAAATGTAATCCTTTCACAACCTGTCATCAATTCAACGGATTTGATTTAGGTTTTTCTCTCTCTCTCTCTCGAAACAGTCGTTCGTTACGTTCGTTTTGCTTTGCGTCTAATGCCACGTTGTCATTTCCTTTTCATCATTTCTCCCTCTTTCGTTTTTTTTTTTTTTTATATCCCCCCGATTTTCTTCGTTTCCGGCAAAGTACGATAGGATAACTTTGGAATAAAATATTTTTTTTTTTTTATCGTTTTTAGATGACGAAGATGAGAGTAGCAGCGGAGGAGAAGAAGAGGAAGACGTGGAAGAAATGAAACTTCGCGGGAATTCTTCGGGTGAAAAACCGACGGATAAATCCGCGTCGGCAAAGGAAACGGAAGCGGGAGCGGAAATATCCGCTCTCGTTAATTACATACAACCCGTTCATTTCACGTCTTTCGAAGTGGCCGAAAGTAAGTAAAAAAAAGGTTAAATCGCAAAAAATTTGGAAACTTTTCCAAACGATTTTCCACCCCTTTTGTTTTGTTTTTCCAGAAAAGAATAGATTTTACGAAATGTCATCGTTCGACGAGAAACAAGCGACGACTTTATTAAAGGAAAGACCCATAGAATTCGTGAATTATAATAAATTTCAATTGTCAAGGGTTTATCCCTCAGGAAAAAGGTTCGATTCGTCAAATTTTATGCCTCAGGTGTTTTGGAACGCCGGATGTCAATTGGTCGCATTGAATTATCAAACTTTAGGTTGGTTGGTTTTTTTTTTTTTTTTGGGGTGTGACGTCATTAACCGTCATCATTATCATTTCAAACTTGTGTATTTACAGATCTCGCGATGCAGTTAAATTTAGGAATATTCGAGTACAACGCACGATCCGGGTATTTACTCAAACCGGAATTCATGAGGAGAAAGGATCGTCGTTTGGATCCTTTTGCCGAGTCGACGGTGGATGGAATCATAGCGGGTACCGTTTCAATACAAGTGATATCGGGGCAATTTTTGAGCGACAAACGCGTGGGTACTTACATCGAGGTGGACATGTACGGATTACCCGCGGACACGGTGAGAAGGAAATTTCGTACGAAAATCGTACCCAACAACGCGATCAATCCTCAATACAACGAGGAACCTTTCATATTCAAAAAGGTACAAGGTTTCGCGAGTGAGCGCGACGGGTGATGAGAAAGAAAAAGGTTCGGTTGTTAATTTTTTTCTGTCTTTTTTTTCAAGGTCGTCCTCCCCGAGTTGGCTTCAATTAGAATCACGGCGTACGAAGAATCCGGACGATTTTTGGGACACAGAGTATTACCCGTACCCGGATTATGTCCCGGTTACAGGCACGTGACACTGAGAACGGAAGCAGGACAACCTTTACCTTTGGCGACGCTTTTCCTTTTGATCGTCGTCAAAGATTACGTGCCGGATGGTTTGTCGGATTTCGCCGAAGCACTGGCCAATCCAATAAAATATCAAAGCGATTTGGAAAAAAGAGCGCAGCAATTGTCCGTACTAACGGACGATTGCGAAATGGAGTCGAATAACGACGTGAGTGGTTGTGATTGTCGCCGTCGTCGTAAAATAAAAAGAGTGATGTTAATCAATATTATTATTATTATTTGCAGCCCGACGAAAGCGCGACAAATTCTACGGTGAGTCAACCTGCCAAACCTCCACCCAAAAGACATCAATCGTCGTGTCCGGATTTGGGTACGACTCCTCCTCTTCCGACGGTCAACGTGACCCCTATGGTTCACAGAGCTTCCGTCGTGGTTTCAATGCCGCCGGAACCGTCGGACAACGCGATGCCCAAATTCGATTTGGATTCGTCGATCGTGGCGGAAACGTCGTCGCATTCGTCTCCGAACACGAACAAAACGACGGGAACCACGACGACGACGACGACGACGACGACGACGACGCATTTGTCGTCGTCACGTAAGATGATTTTAAATTTACTTTTTTTGTCGACATCATCGTTTAAAACGCTTGCCTATTTTTTTTTTTTACTCCGTTTGTGTTACAGTGAATGACGTTTTGGTAGCGGATTCCCTTGAAAAATTAATGGAAAATAAAGTGGTTAAAGAAAAGAAACAGGAATTGGATAAAAAACTCGACGTGCTTAGGAAAAAACACGATAAAGAAAGGCAGAGAGTGACGTCGTCGGATTGCGACAAATCAAAAACGAAATTTTACACCAACAAATTAGTCAAGAGGCTATCGAGTAAAAACATGTAAGTAGTCGAAAGTTGGGAGACGTGGAACGAGAAAGAGGAAAAGAGACAACATTGATTGATTGATTGATTGTTTATATAGAGATCTCGGTTTTTCAACGCACGAACCCTTGGATTACGCGGAATCGGATGATTCGACGAAGGGAAGTCTATTGAGAACAAATTCCGAGAGACTGATAACGATATGCAAAGATTATTACAATCAAGAGAGAGAACTAAAGGAAAAATATAACGAAACGATATTTAATCTCGTTGAAAAACTAATGAAAAACTCGCAGAGCAATCAGTTGAAAAATTTAAAGGTTTTGCTGGAAAAGGAAACGGAAAGCGTTATGCGAGAACTCCAGGCGGCGAGAAGAGACGAAGTTAAAAAATTATCGAAAATTCACAAAGACAAAGACGAAATGGTTTGTTTTAAATCGATCGATCGATCGATCAATTGTAGTTGTTTCCGTTTAAAAATTTCATTTCCGGTTTTTTTTTCCTTTTCTCGAAAGGTGAGAATCAAAAGAGAAGTCGATTCGGCAATGATCGATCGTGGAGTTCACGAACGCGTGAGATTGACACAGTTGTACGATAGGAAAAGAGAAGATTTAGAAAGGCAACACGAACACGTTAGGCAATGTTTAGAAGAGGAAAGGTCAAAGGTCGTAAGAAAATTTTTTTTGTAAAGCGTGACGACGATGATGATGATGATGATGATGATGATCACGAACTTTTTTTTTGATTCCAGTTCAAAGCGAATTTATTGAAAGATCACGAAATGAAAGTTGCAAGATTAGAAGAAGAAATGTTATCGCCATCGTCGAGTCAGGGAAATGTTAAAGTTTAAATTTTCCTGGAGAAATTTGTTTGATTTTTGGAAAAGAAAAAAAAACCTGGAGATTTAAAGAGGGAAAAAATTCTTCATACGTTCATCATCATCATGCATGCAAGCGGAAGTGACATCTTGGAAAGATTAAACTTCTCAAGATTTTTTTTTTCTTTTTTTTTGGAAAAATGATAATGATAATGATTTGAATTTTGTCTGTCGGTCGGTCTGTTGGTCTGTCGGTCGGTTGGTCGATTCCAGAGAAAAAAATTTTCCTTTTTTTCCACTCATCTGGAATTGAATTGTTGGATTAAGTTGAAAAGTCAGGTCGAGGCGTTCGCGTTCGATCGAACGTATAGAGTTATATTGGTTCGTTTTTCGTACGTTCGTTCGTTTGCATTTTAGTAAATAGTTTTTCTCTCTCTCTCTCTCTCTATCTCTATCTCTTCTCTATCTTTTTTTACGTAAATGTAAAATGTACTTAAGAACGCGATTTAATTTCTTTTTTTTTTTTTTTCTGGAACTTTCTTTCGTTTTTTCTTTTTACGTATCAAATCTATCGTAGGTCTTTTACGTGTATACATAGATATATATATATATATGTGTGTAACAAAGTGCAGGCACTTGTTTCTCAATCGTATGTACATAATCTTCTCTCTTTTAGACGCGATGACACGTCGTGGAAGGGGAAAAAAGATGGTGGAGGATTTGTGGGGGTGGGGGGAGGGAGGGAGGGAGGGAGAGAGAGGATGCTACTCTCTGTAGGAGGAGGTACCCTATAGTTTGAAACGATTCGATTTGGTTTGGTTGTTTGTTTGTTTGTTTGTTGGCTGGTTTGTTAACGAGTCGATGGTAATAATACATACGCGCAAAATCACACGCACATTTCGAAACGCGCGTTTGTAACGGTTTGTCCACGTGTATTTTTATCACGCGTTCGTAGCGGGGGGGGGAAGTCACGCGTCACGCACTTATTACTTACGTACAATGTAAATAAAACGCACACTTTTACTACTTATACTTTCACACACGCGCACTCACGCACGCACCACGAAGAAAAAAGATAGGTATATATAGACACACACACTCACGCACTTTACAAATGTAAGAATAATTAATTATATGGTCCCGTAATATTATTATTATTATTATTATTATTATTATTATTATTATTATTATTATTATTATTATTATTATTTTGGTATCTGTCGCGTTAGAAAAATTCCGTCGTAATAATATAAACTTATTATAGTGTATATCGTGCTGTTATTACTACTACTACTACTACTACCACTACTATTGCTACTACTACTACTACTACTACCACTACTATTGCTACTACTACTACCGTGACTACTACCGAATAATGTTAGAGAGAATTGTAATTTGTATATATATATAAAAAAAAAATATTTGAAAAAAAATAAAATAATAATAATAATAAAGCCTTTCTAATGATGTGTACATATAAATATTATATATATATATACATATATTTACGATGGCCTAATGTAAAATTATTTTAAACGCGTACCTAGTACCTAGTTATAACCGTTTGTCGTAATGTATTTCGTGCAAATTATTATTATCATTATCGTAATCATCATCATCATCATCGCCGCCGCCATAAAAAAATAAAGATAGATAGAAAAAAAAAAAAAATGTCGACGACTATTTAAAAATTTTTTTTTTTGATTATTTTCCCCGTTCGATGACGTCATAAAATTTCAATCGTTAGTTATTTATTATAATCAATCATTATTATTAATATTGTCGTAATATTTGAGGAGGGAGTCCGTTTGTATGTTGTAGTCGTTATTATTATTATTATTATTATTATTATTATTATTATTATTATTATTATTGTTATCGTCGCCATCGTCGTAGTAGTAATTATTATTATTAAATGTTTAGGAGCGAGACATCTTTATCATTTTTTTTTTTTTTTTTAGTTTCTGTACCTGTCAGTCACCTGTTGCCGTTTCTAACAATTTGATTTGTGGTCGTTTCCGGTCACTCAGACCGGAAGTTCGTACAGTATTTGAAAATAATTATTATAATAATAGTTGTTGTATTTTTTTTTTTTTACATGCAAATCGTTAAAATTTTCACGGTGATGATGATGATGATGATAATAATAATGATGATAAAAGTAGTTGTAATAATAATAATAATAATAACGACGACAATTAATTTTTTAATTAATAATAATTAAATTATGATTAGACAAAAGTGTTACGAACGAGTCGCGCATGATTTAATTATTATTATTATTATTATTATTTATCACGATTATTATTATTATTATTATTATTAATTTTTGTTGTTTTTTTTTTTTTAAATATGAAAACGTAAAGAAAAATAAAAATCAGACAATCAATATGATCGATATTACAAACACACATATATATATATAAACAAACATATACATATGCATAAAATTTTATCCTTTGACTTATTATTATTATTATTATTATTATTAGTATCGTTATTATTATTATTATTGTTGTTATTTATTTATTTATTTATTTTCAAAAAAAACCAAGAATTTATTTTTTTGTTTTTATTATTTGTAAAAAATTATGATAGTGTGCCATCGAATTTGAATTTTGTTTTTTTTTTTTGGGTAGGGGGAGGGAAAATAGTGCGGGGGGGGGTACGGCTATGAAATTTTATATAATATTCCATGTACTTATGCGTACGTACGCACATACGTACTTAAAACGCGCACACGGAAACTAAAAAGGGGGGAAAATAAATCTGTTCGTTTGTTTTTTTGTTTTGTTATTATTATTATTATTATTATTATTATTATTTATTATTATTATTTCGATTTAAATAAAAGAAAAAACGGCACAATCATATTTAGCAATATTTTAAAAATTAATTTGTGCCGTCGCACGTAAAAAGTGTATCCTCACTGGATTTTTTTTTCTGAGGGAAAGTTTTGAACCTGTCAGACATTTTTTATTAGATGGATGATGTAGGAAATTCGATCGGCCATCTTTGTTTCTTTTTTTGGAAATTAAATTATTTTACTATTGGTTATTTATCGAATACATTATATTTTGTTTTTATTAATGGGGCCGAATACTTATTTTCTATTATTTATTTTTATAAAAATCTATTCTTTAACGTTTTTTTTTTTTTTTTTTTTTTAAAGAATTAAAACGAAAAAATAATAATAATAATAATAATAATTGTTGTTTGTTTTATATTTTATTTTTCCTTACGTTATTTATTAATTAATTTATTTATTTATTTACCTGATAGGATAAAATACGAAAGAATTCCTTCCATGAGACTTTGTTGTTTAGTTATTATATTATTGAGAATTGAAAAGAACATTTTTTTTTCGACCACGCATATTTTGAAATTTCCGTTACAAAATTCACACACACAAACACACACCATTTTTAATAACACAAAAAAAATCATTTTTAAAACACTGGTAAAACTTATGAGTAGTGAATTAAGAAAATAAATTTAATTAAAGATTAATATTATCATTTTAAACAATTATTTAACTTTTATTCACTTAAAACATTAAAAAAAAAACGTTAAACGAATAGAATTCGTATCGCATTCGATAAAATTTCAAATGGTTAACTGAAATCGTTTTCTGATGACACGTTCGTTTTAATTTTTAACGTGTCGTTTAAGTACAAACTAATAGTTGTGCGGTTAAGTGTGTGTTTTTTGTTTCAAATTTTATATTTAATTAAATATAAATGGAACTTCAGGAATTAAATAAACCTTTTAAAAAAAATTTCGAGCACATGGAAATAAAAAAACTCGGTAATAAAACATTAGTGAGAGGTTTTAAATGGAATCAATTTATTCGTCAAAATGAAAATGGCGATAAATTTTGTAGGACCGATATAAGCTTATGGACTTTTGTATCCTCAAATAATAAAAAACATAGTAAGAAAAAAAAAGAATTAAAATATGATTCGAGCGATGTTCATTTTAAAAAAAGTGATAAAAAAAAATCAAATTCATTTAAAAATTTCGTTTTTTTTTTCTAACAACTACACTAGTTGGATACCTGGCTTATTTTTTTAAAGAATTAAAATATGATTCGAGCGATGTTCATTCTAAAAAAAGTGATAAAAAAAAATCAAATTCATTTAAAAATTTCGTTTTTTTTTTTTTAACAACTACACTAGTTGGATACCTGGCTTATTTTTTTATCATTCAACAAGATATTTTTTGTAAAAATGTGTGGCATTTGGATAACACAGTAACAGACATTAAAAATTTAATTTTCGGTCAAGATGATGCCGTGGAAAAATTGAATTACGTTTTAAATAGAATTAATCAAACGGAAGGCATGAGTGTTGTTATTTTTACAGGTGGTGTAGGAGTCGGTAAAACTTATACCGCACTTACAATAAATAAAAATTTACCATGGACATCAAAGACAATAATATCAAAACACAGTTTTGAACTTGATGAAACGATTTTACCTAAAACATATTTCAAATGCGATCATAATTTATTAATTATTGAAGATTTATCAGTTAACGATATGGATTCAGTCATGAATTTAATCAAATTTGCAAGTTATAGAAAATACAAAAAACTTTTTATCATATTAATTTTTACAACACATTCGAATAGTGAAAAAAAAGACATTTTGTCATCTTTCAATGAATCATACATAACATATTATCATGTTCCTTTTAAAAATTTAGATAAAGAAGCTGTTAGAAAATGTTACCTCGATGAAATTAATAAACAAAAAGCAGAAATTTCCGAAATTGAATTGCATGGTTTGATAAGTAAAAAAATGAGGGCAATTGAAATTGTAAAAGGTCCTGTAGGTTGTAAAGGAGTATCAGATGATGTTGCCTTTTATACAAAATGATGCATGCTAATAATTTACTCGAAACAATGTTTGAAGTTATAAAAGACGAAAACAATATCAATAAGTAATAAAACTATTTAATTCGATAACATCATCATCATCATTTCAAAATGGGAAAACTCTCATTTAGGTATAGTTTTTTTTTTTTTTTAATATTCGAATTGTATTTTCATTATATTATTATCTATCCTTGGTAATGAATTTTTTTTTTTTTATGAATAGTCAAAATGTTATCACAATTATCTATAATTATTTTTATATATTTAAATTTTAATGTTATTCATATTTTGATAAGAAACTTTTTAAATATTTTATTGTTTTTGCTCAATATTTTTTAAGTGCACTTTGTACATAATGGAAATCATTGAAATTAAATAAAAAATATCAAATGAATTTATAAAAAAAAATATATTTTTGTAAATTAAACAAGTTAAAAACAATAAAACATAATAATAATAATAATATCACACAAATTATTTGCATAAATGCATCGAAAAAGTGCCTATATGTATACACATATATAAAATAATAATTTTTTTAAAGCTTTTCTTTACAACAACAGCAACAGCAACAGCAACAACAACTACTTCTAATAATAATAATAATAATAGAAAACAAAATAAAATAAAAAAATGATTGTTTTTTTTTTTTCAGTCAACTTCAAGTTTTCTGAAATTACCACAAAGACCATGATCTCTAAGTGTATCCATTTTACACATAGCTCCAGTTTTCAATGCTGATACAGCTCCTTCTTTTGCTCTGTCGCTGTAGAATTCCAAATTAACTTTCATATCATCATGTTTGAGTAAAATATCTCTTGTTGATTCTAATATTTTTTTAGTGTGTTCTAAAAAATGAATAATAATTATAATGGGGTACATAACAATAACATTTATTAAAATAAGAGAAAAAAGAAAACAGAGACAGCATTATTACCAATCATTTCTGACATTGGTATAGTTCCTCCATATTCTTTTGGAAGTAAACATGGATCCACATGTTCATGTAGTTCTTCTAAAGATGAATGAATCTATAAATATGAAATATTATTATTATTATTATTTAGTTTATGTGATTTGTGAGATTGTGTATAGAAAAAAAGAGAGAGAGAGAAACATGCCTTGATTCTGTTTTTATATTTTTCAGAGATCAATGAAAATCCAAAATCCACGACAAATTTTAATGAAGATGGTATATTAAATCCGTGTGCTTCTTTGTGTCTCATCGGTATGGTTTTCTCACCATTTTTAACTAATCTCACAGCATCTTTGGGTGTGAATAATGTCAGGTATGGGAATCCAACACCTTTTCCATCTCCGACATAAACGAATCCTCGTACTTGCGACTCTTCATCTTCCATTAATGTTTCGTGAAATATAGCACCCAATCTCAATATGTCGACATTTGTAAATTTATAAGGATCAAAGGGTGCTATACGACCCAAAACGACTTTCCTGCCAAGCTTATCAAGTTTGGGTGATATCAAAATGAGACCCTCATCGATTAATCCTTCTATTCTTGGATTTTTATAATCGGCTTCTTGAAATCCTGTCGAATAGGTTTGCCTTAGCAAAAGATACCTTTCCAAAACTTCTTCTGCTTGTACGACGTGAAATTTAGTAAATCTTAAAAATCTCAATAGGAATTTAGAATCCAATCTGCAATTTTTTATTCTTGGATTTTTCATTATCCAATTTCTCATGGATTCTAATGATTGACGACGAGTGCTATCATCTTCGCGAAGTTCGCGTTTTGCTATTTCTTGTGTTTCCAATGGTAACGTGCAAACGTAATCGTCAGGTTTTGTCACCCACGTCCCTGTCATAATTCTGAACACACAAAAAAAAAAAATTTCTGATAACATCTATAGTTTGTCAAATTTATATTAGGCGGGGCATTAAATAAAAAAAATTTCTTTCTTTATTATATTGCAATTTATTTATTGCAAAATTACGGAAACTCCCTCAATTTATAAAAGACGCAATGAAATAAGAAAATTATTATCATTATTATTTACATTTAATTGCGAAATTTTTTATTTACAAAACATTTTTGATTGATGTACGTAAAACAAACAAACAAACAAACCGTTGACGAAAAATATTTTTACATAATTAAAAATAAATAAAACCTTATTTTAAACAAATGATTAATTATTATCATCATTTAAAATTTTAAAAAAATAACGATTATTTTAATATTTAAATTAACGACGTGCGCCGCCATTTGCGACGATATTTGCAACCTTGCTCCGTTTTTTTTTTTTTCGAAGTTGGCACCCCGTGAAATTCAAGCGGAACGTTTGCTCGATCATACGATTATTGTTTATATTTAACGACTTTGGTGTAATTAAAATTTTACAATCGTTTAATTTTGTTTTTATATTATTTTATCAACGCCATCGATAAATTTATTTAGTTTTTAATCAAAGCGATTATTAAATTTTCCATATATGGTAAATAAAACGTGTTTGTCGTGTTTGTTTGTTCGCGTGTTAAAAATTTGATCCGTTATCCGTTTTTTTTTGCTAACCGGGGGTGTTGTGAGTAAATTTTAATGTCGATATTTCTTTTTTTTACTTATCTTCCGTACGCGTTTGTAATATTTATTACGTAATAACACAAAAAAACCGTTAAAACACGGTTAAGGACGATGCAATAAGAAGATATAAATTGTTATTAATGGCAAACCCATTTGCTATTAAAATAATATGTATTGTGTCACCGTGCATGGCAAAAACCATGGAAAAGGGTAAATATGTCATTATTATTATTATTATTGTTATTTTTATACACCCGAGAACATTACTTATGTGTTTTTTTTTTTAATTATAAAAATTATGTAATTCTTATATATGTGTGTGTGTGTGTGTGCTCGTGAATTCGTACGAATCAAAATAACCATAAATTTATTATGTCTGATATGGCATAATAACACAAACCGGTGTTAATCAATTTATTTTTATTTATTTATTTATTAAAAAGTTTTTATTTAAATTTTTTCGATTCGTCACGTTAATTAATTAATTTCAAATCGAACGAGTATTTTTTCATCTAATTAAAGATTAAGAAAAAGAAAGAAAAAAAATGTTTTTTTATCTGGTACGCTCTTAATTAATCAATTCCCATTGTCGGCCATTTTGTTTTCCGTTAAACTATTACCTGAACTTTTTAGTTTTTTTTATTATCAATTTAATTTTTGATTGAATTCGTAACGATTGATTACGTAATGCGAATTATCATTATTATTATTATTAAAAGTTCGTTAAAAGGGTTTAAAATTTAAACAAAATTCTATTATTATTATTATTATTATTACGATTTTTTTTTTATTTTTTAACGACGATAGAAATCGATCATAGGTCAAATATTTTATTTTGCAACAAATAATAATAATAATAATAATAATAATTTCATAACGAGACTACAGATGTCTTATAAAAAAAAATCTTATGCAATGACCTTCGTTAATAAAATGACTCGGCGAAAATTTTTAAAAAAAAAAAAATGGCGACCGCCGCTCACGACCGTTACGAGTCGATCGTGTTACGTTCGAAAGATTTGAATAAATTCAACGCCCCCCCGACCCGAATTTAAATTTAAAAAAATTTTTTATTGTATTTTATTTTATATTTTCCATTGTTATTATTAACAATTATTATTGACCTATCGACCTTTAAATAATTCAAAACGGTTATTCGTTGTCAGGAGGTATTACAATAATAATAATAATAATAATTTGGGTCCGCAATAAGTAGTTTAAATTTCGAAAGAAAAATTTTTCTTACGATTCGGAAAATATTAATAATAATAATAATAATAATAATAATAATAACCTTAAAAAGGTCGTTTTTTTTTAAATTATTAAGAAAAAAGGTTTGCTTATAAAAAAAAAAAACCGTTAAAAACCATTAAAAAATCTTCTTTTTTTTTTTGTTTTAAATTTTATTTATTTACTGCCACGGTAGTTTATTACTTATGACACGACAACTACTATTATTATGATTATTATTATTTATATTTATTATTATTTTAAATTCTTTAATTATTATTATTATTATTTTAAAAATTTTAAATTTTTTTTATGAATTTTATTTTTTAAAATGGCGACGGTTAAAAATTTAATTTTTCGTTATTTATTTTGTTTTTATTACTACTTCCGTTAATTATTATTATTATTATTAGTTACCGTTAGGAAAAATTCGAAAGAAAAAAAAAACTAAAATTAAATTTAATTAAATAATAATAATAATAATAATAATAATAATAATAACGAATCGAAAAAATAGAAACGAAAATTTTTCAATGTAAAATTCATTTCCTAACGGTTTTTTTTTTCTAAATAAAAAAATTTAAAAACGTGGCACCAATTTCAAAAAAAAATGAAAAATTTTTTTACTCACGTTTGTTTGTTTGTTTGTTCGTTTGTTTTTATAAAGCAAAAAAAAAATTATAAATTTTTTTTTTTTATAACTATGACGTTTGTTAGTCGAAACGAAAATGATTTCTGGTACAGGTTTCCACTTAAACTTAAATCGTAAAACACAAAAAACTTTTTCTCCCTACTTACCTACCTACCTATACTACCTACCTACGTACCTACCACACCGCCACCACCACCTTGAGTAGTTTAAGATGAAAATAAAAACAAAGCTAACCTAATTGCGACACAGATAACGAATATAATTCGAGAAGAAAGAAAGAAAAAAAAAATTCATTTTCGTCGCCATATTTAAAATAAAAAAAAATAATAATAATAATAATTATTACCGTGTCATCGCCATTATCATCGCCATCATCATCATCATTATCATTATCAGTAATCAGGGGGAAAGAGAGGGGGGGGGAACATGGTCGTAAAAATACAAATAAATTTTTTTTTTTTTTTTTTTGGTAAAGTTTAAAAGGGTCAGTAAAAAAAAAAAAGATTTTTTGGCGGGAAAAAATTTAAAAATTTTTATTGTTTCGATTACGTAATCAGTTTTTTTTTTACCGGAGTTAAAAGTCACGTGATCTTCTTACATCATTTATGTAACGGAATCGAGTTGTTTAAAAAAAAAAAAATTTTAACATAACGATATTAACTTTCGACTGCTCTTTATTATTATTATTATTATTATTATTATTATTATAACCACTTGAAAATTGTTTCCCTTTAAATAACCGTTAATAATTTTTCGTGTTTGTTTGCCGTGTATAAAAAAAAAAAAATAATAATAATAATTTTGACATGGTAACGATGTTTTTTCTTTTACTTTCAAATCTCATCATTTAAATTTAAAAAATAGTGAACACGTGACTAATAACTAAAAACATAAATAATTATACAACCGTTTTTTTTAAATTAATAATTAAAAAAAAAAAAAAAAACATGAATGGAATTATATTAAGTTCTTTTTTGTAACGGTTAAAAACAAAACGATCCGCCATTTTGAAAATTCAAATTCGTTATTTATACATTAACGAATAAATAAAATAATTATTATTATTTTTAATTACAATTCGTAATAATTTTAAAATCGATTAATTAATTAGCAGACGATAAATTATTTTGCGGGAAAAGGAAATTTTTTAAACTTTAAACTTATTTTCCACGTAATATCCCCTCCCTCCCCTTTCCCCCGTTCGGTGGTGGAAGTAAAAGAAATCTCGCGTTTTTTATTACGACTATCTCTTTGCAAAAAAATGATGACGTAATAAAATCCAGGAAAAAAAAACTTTTATTTATTTATTTTTTTTTTATAAAGGACGTGGCAGTAGTAGTAGGGACGAAAGTGGTAGTAGTAGAATTTAAAAAAAAAAAAAAAGCGGAAAAAGTTGTTGTTGTTGTTGTTGTTTTATGTAATTGTACATAACGTATATACATAAGTAATATATTCACGTATTACGGTTAATAAGTCAACGAAATAAATAAATAAATAAATTTTTGGCGGTTTATTTATTAATAATTAATTAATTAATTTTTCGTACGCTTATGTATATATATATATATATATATATATATATATATATATATATTTATATAAAATTATTTTTTTTGTATACATAAAATTAAAATGTAGTCTATAATAGAAAAAAAAATACTTGAGAGTTAATAATATCTTATTAAACGCAAACCTTGTGTTATTATTACATTTTACATAATATTATTTTACGACGAATAATCAATAATAATAATTATTATTATTATTATAATCGGGTTAACGATTACTTTAAAAAATTACAAATTATAAAATTAATATAATAATAATAATAATAATAATAATGATAATAAAAAAAAAAACTTTCGTTTAAATGAAATCGAAAGTCACGACAACGACTAACTACGAAGTAATTGTAAACTCGAATTTCTTTTTCGTCTTGTAGTATTCGACGTGTGACGTATTTCCTTTATTTCTTATTAACAAGTAATAATAATAATAATAATAATAATAGTGATAATAATAATAATAATAATTTGTGACCATCTGTCTGTGGGTGTGTTAATTACGTGTAATTAGACAATTAAGAAACATTCGTGGGATTTAAGATTTGTATCTCTATCCCTCTCTCTCTCTGTCTTTTTCTTTCTCTACGAAATCGTGTCGTGAGGAAAATTGCAATTTTTTTTTTACGGTTTTCGTCGTCTGCTACGATGATAATTTGTTTATTATTGTTATTTTGTCTTGTCATTTGTTTACAACGTCACGTTATAATCATGTTGAAATATCGATAAATAATTTTTTTTTTTTTTTTTTTTTTGCGTCGACGACGACGACCTCCTAATACGAAATTTTTATTATCATCATCATCATTATTATTATTATTATTATTACGAAATGTTTCAGCGGGTTCATGCACACACACACACATATTTTCTTTTTCTTTTGTTTTTCACATTTTGTTTTTGAATTGAACCGGATTTTTCACGTCGGTAAATAATTTGACTTGTGTTTGTTTTGTTTCGTTTGTTTTGTTTGTTTGTTCGTTTAACAATTTTCCAAACCGCAAACGCATGTTCTTCCACCGGTTCCGTCGGGTAAACACAAATGATTATCCGGACACCTTCCGTAATCGTGCTGACAAATGTTGGACACTAGGGGGGAGGAAAAATCAAATAATAATAATAATATTCTCGTTAAACTTTTTTTTTGGAAAAATCAAACGGTGACGACTTACGTCTCGGACAAGAATCCGGTACTGCGACGATGCCGTATAATTTAGCACTTCCCACAATGGGCACGCTCAATGCTTTATCCAAACGTTGACTCGACCTTTCGAACCTTTCGATTTTTCTCCTTCGAATAAAAAAAAAAAAAAAATTTTTAAATGGTTGTAGTAGGAGAAAAACCTGAAAAAACCTGAAGAAAACTCACGTCGTCCAATCCGTCCAGTAATAATGATTTTGAGATATGGCAAGACCGAAAGGATAACTGCAATTTTTCGTTACCGTTCTCGAATACCTGTTTACTATACCTGTACATTCTGTAAAAGGAAATCAAATCATTTAAAACAAAAATTAAAACCGGAAAAAAAAAAAAAAGAAATATCAAATATAAATTGTAATGATAACAGTAATAATAATAATAATAATAATAATAATAATAATAATAATAATAATAATAAAACGGAACTGTAACGATATTCATTATCATTATTATTACTTTTGAAATGGATTGTTATGGAAGAACGACGGTTATGGACCATTACATAAAATGGTAAAAAATTTTTTTTTCTTATTTTTTTTTAAAACGAATCTAATGCGTGATTGCGTAACGTCGCGTACACACGCAATAGACAAAAAAAATTATTATTATTATTATTATTATTATTATCACTGTCTGTTTTTTTTTTGGCGCGCACGCGAGTTAAGAAAAATAAATAAATGAGAAAAATGACCGATAGCTTTGGTTCCAGCATCCGCCCAACAGAGTTCATCCGTCGCGAAATCAATGGCCAACGAATTTGGTAATTGAACTGAGGGTCCTTCGACGAAAACGGCTCTCGCGGTTCCATCTAAATTTGCCCATTCGATTTTTGGCGCTGCTCTGTTCCAATCCGACCAAAATACTTTCCTGTGGGAGAAGGGGAGGGGGGGAATACGATTAGTTTTTGTTTTTGTTTGAGGGGGGGGGGGTAAATGTTTTAATTTACCCTCTGGATGGATGAACGGCGATTCCTCTAGGATTAACCAAACCTTCGTTAATTAAAACTTTTCTTAGATTGTTGTTGTCCAAATGTGCGACTTCGATCGTATCCTTTTTCGAATCGGTCCAGTAAATGTTTCGGGAAAGCCAATCTATGGCCAAACCTTCCACGGATTGAATTCCTTAATGATGAATGAATTAATAAATAAATTTAATTTTTGACAGGAAAATTTAAATTTTTTTTTTTTTTTTCTAAATTCTAACCGTCTGTTATGAATTTTTTAACATCCGTTCCCATATACGTTGCACTTTCAATTTTTTTCCCAGCAATATCGCTCCAATAAACTCTATTCTCGGTACAATCGATATCGATTCCTATCGATTGTTGTAAATATTGCATCATGATGGGTTTAGCCGGATCGTGATTCGTTGGATTATAAGGAACCTGTAATTTAAAATTAAAAAAACTCGTTTTGCAAAAGTGAAATTTTCTTTTCGTTTTTGTTTTGGCACGGTAATTAATAATAATCACAAACTTTTAACATTGTGTTCCCTTGATTTAATAGTAAAAAATTTCCGGTTTTTTCAGGTTCGGGTTTACATCGTATCCCATTTCCAACGAATCCAGGATCGCATCGACACGAATAACCACCGAGTTGTGATGGAAGACACGAAGCGTGTTCTCCGCAGAGGGATGCGTTTTCTGCACACGTGACTATGGGGGTGCAATTTAAACCGTCACCTTCGTAACCCTGTCGAAAAGGTAAGAAAATTTTTTACGTAATATTTTTAATGCACGTCGTCGACGTATCTATGGGGCATATCTGTTGGGAGCGAACCTGTCTGCATCGGCATCTGTATTCATTGACAGCATCGTCAAATAAACAATCGGCCGTTCCTTCGGCGCAATTGAATGTCACGTGACAGTTAGCCTCACTTTTCCTGCAATCGATTTTTCCATCTCCCTCGTAGCCGGGTCGACAAACGCATTCGGGTTTACCGGTTTCTTCTCTCACAACGCAAGCCGCATACGGATGACAAATGTTTACTTCGAAACAATTTTCCCGAGTCGATTCTAAAAGTTTTTAAATTAATTGATTTTTTTTATGGAAATTCGTTCCCCCCCCCTCCCCGTGGAAATCTTCTTCAATTTACCATCTAAACGTTCTTCGACGCACGTTCTAGAAATCGGATCTTTGAAAAATCCTCTGAAGCATACGCACGTGTTTCTTCTCAATTGTGTATCGAAAACGCATTCGGCATCTCCGACGCAATCGAGCGGAGATGAACATTCATCTTAAAAAAAAAACGTTTCATGAGTCACATTTTTTATCATAAATTTTTTTTTTTTCGGGGAGGGGGAGGGGGTGATTAATAAGGAAAATATTACCTCCTTCGAAAGGAAAAGATCCGCCGCTCGAGGGAGAACATTCGATACCGTCTCCTTGATATCCGGGATTGCACTCGCACCTGTAATTTCCGGTTGGTGACGTTGGAAGACACTGAGCGTGAGGATGACATCTGTTTAAAACGTTGCACGATACTGAAAATATTTTTTTAAAAAAATTTTTAAATGTCGATTTGAATTAAAAACAATTTTAACGTGACCGCGCGACGACTTATAATTTTTATTCCTACTTTCGAACCCGACATTGCCTTTCGTGTTCAATATCGTATCGTTTCGCGTGACGGGATCGCATTTATTCGTCACGTTGTTAAATTGGTAATTTTTAATGCAAACACATTTTCCTGGGAAAAGGCAAAAAGGTTCCGGTCGTTGCAACTCAAAATCTGCCATGAATATAAGTTTATTGTTACGTAACTTTTATATTAACGTATTCGTAAATTAAAGGTACTCACTGTCGTCTGCTTCGTAAGGTCCATACCGATCATCCGTTCTACGCGTGTCGGCTTGTCTAAAACATTTTTTTTGCACGTCGTCCAAATCGTATCCTTCTGGACAGTGGCACAAATTGAGAACGCACCGAGCTGGAATTTCATAATCCGATCTTGCATCAGGCCTGTAATCGGTTTTATATTCAGGTCCGTAGTCTCGTCCTACATCCGTTCTATAATCGGGTCTATATTCTGGTCTGTAATCTTGACCTCCTCCTCCTCCTCCTCCTTGTTTGTAGTCTGGCCAGTACTCGTTACCTACTGGTCCGTAATCTGGACGATATTCATACCCTCCATCCGGTCTGTAATCAGGACTTTCACCGGGTCTGTAGTCTGTACCGTATTTACGACTTTCATCCGGTGAATAATGTCCTCCCGCATTGGTTCTGTGATCTGGTCTATAGTCCGGTCTGTAGTCAGGCCTATAATCCGGTCTATAATCAGGTCTGTAGTCTGGTCTATGCTCTGGTCTGTAATCAGGTCTATAGTCTGGTCTATAATCAGGCCTGTAATCCGGTCTGTAATCGTGACCCCATTCTGGTCGATAATCAGGACTTGTGGTGACTCTGTAATCGGGTCTGTTATCTTGACCGCCGTCCACTCTGTAATCCGGCACCCTTTGAGATTCTTCTTCAACCTTATAATCCGGATAAGGGGTGTGACCATAATCGTACGGATATTGTGGTCTATAATCAGGTCTGCTTTCTCTCTCTGAAATTTAAAAAAAAAAATTTTATATGAGTTCGAATGACAGATTGAAGTTTGTTATTATTTTATTTTAATTTAAATTTGTACCATCGAAAACTGTGCAGAAAGTTCCATTTCCTTCAAATCCCTGCCTGCAAAAACATTGGGGCATGTTTCTTGCTCTTTGTATGCAATACGCGTTCGCATCACATCTTATGTCGTCACACGTCATTTCCTCTAAAATGAGAAAATATTAATGAATCCGAATGATCTTTGCTTTACAAAAAAAAAATTTGAGGTAGCTTTTAAAGTCGATTAGCTTACTATTGCAAGTTAAACCGTCACCAGAGAATCCAGGATTACACTGACAATAAAACGATCCTTGATTGTTGATACAAACAGCGTTAGAATCGCAATTATGCGTGCCTGCACTGCACTCGTCAATATCCACGCACATTCTTTCCGTATCGTTCGAGACAGCATATTGATACCTAAAATTATTTTCGAAAAAAAAAAAAAAATTATTTCGTTTCGTTAATTTCAATCAATTTAATCACACGGTTTTAAATTTTTACCCGGGATTGCACACGCAACGAAAAGTATCCCCCTCGGCTATGCACGTACTGTGTCTTCCGCAATGATTTCTACCTTCTTTACACGGGTCCTCGTCCACTCCCAGAGGAGTCACTTTATTATTCATGGCGTATCTTATTATGTTTTCGGTTTCGTAGCCGATGAAATTTCTAGCGACCTTTAAACGGAAAGGATGGACGGAAGTTCCCGAATGTTCGCATTCGTGATACTGAATGTTTTGTTCGACGGTAAAAGTGTTATCAATTTGAACCCCTTCAAGTTGAAACACTTGCGAAGAATGACCGAGAAGTTGACCCGGCCCAATGGGCGTGTACTGTTCGTCGTAGTCTTTAATAATTATTTTACTTCCGATTGGAATATTTGGAATATCGCCTTTTATTTCCGCTGTCATGGTTAGTTGTTCGAAAACGTCAAGACCGGTAAATTTCTGTCTCAAAATCAATTGGTGACCGGTTTGCGGGTAGTTTACTTTTACCGTTTGATTAAAAACTCCACCTAAAAATTATTATTATTATTATTGTCTTAAATATCTCTTAAACCAAATAAACCAAATTTTTTTTTTTTTTTCAAAGTTGTTATACCCGTTAACTGATATCCGTTTGTGGCACCTTTAACCGGTTTTGCAAATAACCAGCCTATTGTCGTACCCAAAACATTTAAGCTTTGCATGTCGTATCCGATATTCATGGGTACTTTAGATAATGCGGTGTAGGATCTTCCATCTTTTGGCACGACGTAAGCTTGAAGAACGACATCGGTAATGTTTACGCCGTTGACGACTCCGCTCACTTTTCCATTAACACGTACGGGCACGTCTGAAAATAATCCTAACAATGAACGTTTGAATATTAGGGTCGGATTCGCACATTATTATTTTTTTTATTAAAAACTTAATGTCAAGCTACCTTCGTTGAGGCAGCTAATTCCGTTTCCGTAGAAACCGGGTTGACAGACGCAACAAAAACCCGTTTGATAGTTGTCGCACATGGCTTTGCTGTGACAATAAAAAACACCCGCAGTACAATCTTTCGGTTCTTCCTCTTCTGTAATTTTTTTTGTTATTTTTAATGATTGCAAAAACAAAAGGAAAAGGAAAGTTTGAAAAGGCGAGTCGTTCGTACCTTTTTCGAAATGAACATCCGGTGGACTTGCATTTCCATCTTGTCCTAATCTTCCAACGTGAAACAACCACTGACCGGGATTTCCTACATTCGACCACCTACATAATTAAACATAATAACGGTTTTAAAAAGAGAGAGAGAGAGGGGGGGGGAGGTTTAGAGCAAGCATATCATTCACGTACTGGTTCAAGTGAGAAATTTGATCCGTTCCAGAACCTTTTAGAGTTATCATACGTCCATCAGCGGATACGAAACCGGATTGTGCCAAAGCATCTGGCAAACTTGATGATGATCCCGTGCCCTTAATCCATTGAATCCCATCTTCGGGATATAAAAATTCAACATAAGAGTCAAGTTCATTGGTTATTACAATGGCTTGGAAAGTGTTGACCTAAAATTATTACAACAACGACATGTAAATGATATAGTTTGCCAACAATCATATTTTTTAATTTTTTTTTTTTTTTTTTTGTGAAAAACATTTTAAATTTCTTCTAACCTTGTCAGCTCCTTGGTTATGATATCCCACATCTTCCCACGTGACAATCAAAACACTTTTCGCATCGAAATCTTGGGCGTAACTAAAAGCTTTCCTGACACTTTCCGTTGCTCTTTCCAATATGTGCGGCTCTTGGGATTCCCTGTAATAAACGGCTCCGCTTGCTCTTATATCGACATTCGTATATAAGGGAGCAATAACCGGATAATCTAATGGAAATTGAATGTTAAAAAATGCCGAAAGCTCCGTTATGAACGACAGGAGTCCGTTTGAATTTATCTAAAATAATAATAAAATTCATTTTTATTTATTTATTTATTTATTTTTTTGTAGGGAAAGAAAAGTAACGCATTACTCAATGGTTGAATTTTCTTTCTTTTTTTTTTTTAAATTTAAATTTAAATTTTAATATTTGAGTGTGTGAGTGAGTGAATGAGTCACAAATTAAACAATTGAAATCTTCCATTAAATTAAACTGAATTTTTTTTTTTTTTTATTTTTACACAGAACGATGATTGTCAACTATATAGTCACTCGCAGGGAAATTATGTTCATTATCATTATTGTTATTATTATTATTATTATCATAATCATTATCGTTGTTATCATCATTATCACTACTGTTTTAATCTACTTGCGCGCGACGCTTTATGATTTCTTTTTTTTTTTTTTTTTCGATTCATTCATTCCAGAACTTTTTTTGGAATTTTTCTAACGCTTTGAGTCTCGTTTTAAAAACAAAAATGGCGGTGAGGGAGGGGTGGAGGGGGAGGGGGAAAACAAACAAAGAAAAAGAATTCGTAACACAATCAGAGAAAATCGTCGTCAATCCATATATATATATATAAAATCTCTAATAAATTGTTTGTTTGTTTGTTTATTTGTTTGTTTGTTTGTTTGTTTAATTAACTCTTAAAAATTTATTTAACACCCAAACACTTTTTTTTAATATAACTAAATCGTTTTTATTTATTTTAAGAATTTTTTGGGGAAAAGAAATAATAAATGATTTCCTGAGTTTATTTTTAGTTTCACACACACAAAATAAGAGACAAGCAAAAAGTGTTAATGATCATCATCATCATCATCATCATTTTATTTTTTTAAACAATTTTATTATCGATTTGATTTTTTTTTTCTTCTACTGGGTGACAATGACAAGAAAGTTTAGATAACAAATTATTTATTAATGTAAAGGTCTTTAACACGAAGATCGGGGTTAAAGTTCTTTGCCATATTATCTCATATTTATAATAAATAATGACGAAAACAAAAATAATAATAATAATTTTTTTCCGACTAAAGAATAAAGTGTAGTAGTGATGATGATAATATTAAAATCCGTCTGCATTTTGTGATCAATCAATGAGGAAGGAGGGAAATTCGTGGGGGGAATTTAAATGTCGTTTTGCAATTGTGAAATAACGAATTAAAATTAAAAACGTTTTAGTTGGGGGGGTGGTGGTGGTGGTGGTGGTGGGGGTGATGGTAGACATATTTCAAATTGGTCAAATAAACGTGTGAATCGTCGCATTTACACATACGACGAGTCCATTAAAAATTCAGCAACCATTGCGTTAACTTTGACCACATTATATGACTTTTGAGTCCAGCTTCCATTTCTTTTCTTTCTCTCTCTCTCTTTTTTTTTTAAAGATTAATTTAATTGAAAAAGAAAAATACTCACGAATATCGAATGGTATATATCATCGTAAAAAACGATTGGAGTTTTTAAAACGAGTTCTGGACTTGATACATCATCTTGCGGTGGTAAAATCTTATCCGGTACTCCTCTCCCGTGGGGATATAAAAAACTCCTGTCGAGTCCCAGGGTCGTACCAACGGTCGAACAAAATAAAACGAATATTATAATAAATTCGTTTTTATTCATTTTCACCGAAATCGTCATTATTATTATTAATATTAAAAATTTAATTTAAAAAAATAAATAAATATTATTATGTACTAATTAATGTGAGAACACACGCGAATAATTATCACTTTTTCACATAATTAAAAAAACAGTTCACGCATAATTCGATGATTATTTTTTACAAAAATTTGTTTTTCGATGTGATTTGTTTTTCGTTAATCTCTCTCTCTCTCTCTCTCAAGACATTTTAAAACCTAAAACAAAAACACAAAAATAAGTATCAATGTGTGATTTGTTTCTTTCGACCGTAATCGCGAAAACATTTATATTGTTAATATACGATCGAACGAAACGACGCCATTTTTAAAATTTTTGACCGTTACGAAAAAAAACGGAAAACGAACGCATGATGAAATTTTTTAAAATTTATCCGTTAATGACGACCGTTCGGTATATAATTAAGAAAATAATTTATTTTCCACGCGTTCGTTCGTTCGTTCGTTGGCGTTATAATTACTTTAACTGAGATTCGGAATAAAATAAATAAATAAAAAATTGTTTATTATGTACTCCCGAGGACAATGTACCGAAATATTCGTTTGAACCGCGTTAAATGATCATCGGTCCGCATATTTGGCCGAGTGTCAAATGTAAACCTCCCGTTACGTAACGGCGAAGAGGGCGCGGGGTAAAAACTGCGGTAGGAAAAGGAACTAAATACGACAGACTTTTTTTTTTTTTTTTTGCTGTTCAAGCGAAAAAAACAAAAATCAAAATTACGATAATGATAATAATAATAATAATAATAATAAAATTCCATTGTTGCCGTCATTATCTATTATTATTATTATTACTTTTGACTGTTTATTTCTTTCTCTTTCACTTCCGTTTTACCCCTCCCCTCCCGTTTACTTTCCCCATTCCACTCACACACACCCCGACGACGGGTTCTTTTTTTTTCTGCATTCTTTGTTTGACCTTGAGTTTTTTCTTTTATTTCTTATTGTGGGTTGTTTATGTAAAAAGTACCAATGGCGATTATTCATTTTTTTTTTTTTTTTTCGATTGTTTAGCATTCATGTCGAGATAAAAGTTTAATTGAGGATTTAAATGAAATGTGTGTGCGTGTGTGTGTGCGTGTGCGTGACACTTGTTTTCTCTTTCGTATAATGAACCATTTAAGAAATTATTAAAATGTTGCCGTAATATACAACCGACGCTTTCCGCCGCCATTTTATTTTTGACCGTTATTCTCCTTCTAATCCCCACGTTCGGTAAAGACGTTTTCAATTAATTAATTAACACGTAGAAGCGAACGAATTTTTTTTTTTTTAAATAAAAATTCGTTAAAATCGGGATATGAAAAAGAATTTCCTATGAAATTTTTTATACATTTAAAGATTATCCGTAACGAAAACTCGTTTTGCGGTTTTCGTTTCGAAAAAAAATTTCTGTTACAATAAAAAAAAAATATTTTTTAATGTCGATTCGTCGTCCGTCGGCCGTGAAATAATTTTTTTAAAAAAATTAATAATAATAATAATAATAATGGTGATGTTAGTAAAAAACTCGCGGATATTATTATAAAAGTCGTTATGAAATTAACGACAGAAAATTTTTTTAATTAGGCTTTTTTTTAAAAAAAAAAACGATCGCGAAAACGTTTTTTATATGTATATCATTATTATTATTAATATGGAATTTTTTGAAAATTTTAATCGGTTGGCGTCTGTTAAAAAAAAAAATTTTCGATTTTAAACTTTTGTTAAAAATAACGGTCGTTTGAGATTAATGCGGAAAACAAAAAAAGTTAGTTAAGCATTTTTTTCTTTTTTTTTTTCATAAACTTTTATGATTAAAAAATGATTCGTTAGTGAATTTAAAAAAAAAAAAAAAAAAAAAAAAAAGAAAAAAATTTTTAACGGTTAGCACTAGAACACGCTGGTTGTTAAAACGAACATTTATTATTATTATTATTATTATTATTATTATTATTTTAATGATAAAAACGTTTACGTACTTGAATGAAATTTTCTTTTTTTTTTCGTGAAATATTTTCCCCAAAAGAACAAACAAACAAACGAACAAACGAAAAAATTCACACTCGTTATTATTATTATTATTTTTTTTTTTTTAAAATACGAACGGATAGAAACTCGTATAGACTCAAACAGAGAGACGAGAGTCACTAACTGCAAGTTAAGCTATTTCGGTTTGGTGATGTGCCATAAAAGACTCGTTGCACCATCTCCATTTTTAAACAGCATTTAATAATTTTTTCTTTTTTTTTTTTTTTTTTTGAAAAAATATTAATTAATAAATAAGAAAATAAAAAACAAAATTTTTATTTTTTTTTTCTAGAAAAATCCAATTTTAGTGACGTAATAATTCGTTTCCGATTCGAAATCCTTTCATACGAACGTTTTTTTTTGCATGCGATGACGTCATTCGTTTTTTTAACCAATCACACCCCCTTCCATAATATTCATACCCGATTTCGACCTTTTTTTTTTTTTTTTGATCATTTCCGCGCCATTTTTAAATTTAAATTTTCGTTCGCGAATGCGGAACGAATTCGAATTTGTAGAACAAGTAGATAATTTTATGCAGTTTGTTCGTGGTGACGATGGGGTGACGATGGTAGTGATGGTGGTTGCTACGGTGATTTCCGTTAGATTTTGAAATTTAATATTTCTTTTAAAATTTAATTATAACGAGCGTGACAAAAAAGAAAAGAAAAAATAAATTTTCGAAATTAAACGGAAGAATGAAAATAAAAATTAAAAAAACGGTCGTCATCAAAAATCAAATAATTAACAGTTTTTTAACGTTCGGTTAGAGGAAAAAAAAATAAAAATAAATGAATTCTGCGGAATTTCCTGTTTTACTTGCCAACAGCGGGGGAAAAGAAAAATGTTGATCAGGTTCAAATATTTTTCAAATTTGATTTTTTTTATTATCGAAATTTCGAATGAAAGATTAATAATAATAATAATAATAATAAATAATATTTTTAGAATTTTAGTTAAAACCAGATGATGATTTTAACTTCCATTTTTTTCTTTTCCGTTTATTTTTTTTTTTTTTTTTGTTAAATAATGAATCATTCTGAAAATAACATTTGCGAGAGAGATTTTTTATTTATTCTTTGTAATAACCGGAAATAATTTTTTCGAATAGATTTGTAATTTAATATGACGTCCACTATTTAAAAAAAAAAAAAAAAAAAATTTATTTTAAATATTCGAGCGTCCCTCACTCTCTCTCTCTCTCTCTCTCTCTCTCTCTCTCTCTCTCTCTCTCTCACTCCTCCATCATCCCGCCAAAAAAAAAAGAAATTTCTGGAAAAGAAGACAAAAATTTCATTTTGAATGAATAAAATTAAAATTTTTTTAGGGTTTCCGAACCGACGAAAAAAAAGATTAATTAACACGAAACGTGTTTCTCCCCCCCAGCCCCCCCCCAAAAAAAAAAGAAATTTTTTTTTTAATTGAATTAATTTTTAATTCATTCCTAGATTGACATTTTGACGGGTTTTTTTTTCGGGTATAGTAATTAATTATAATTCGTCTTTGCAAGTTATAATTTTTTAATTAAATTTTTATTTATTTTAAAAATAATCCAAAAATAAATTTTAATCCATAAACTTACAAAATATATATATATAAATGTTATATTTACGTAATACACACAATTATTTTTTTTTTTTTTTCTTTCTCTCTCTTACGTAATAAAATAAATAAATAAATAAATAAATAATAATAATAATGAAGAAGTGTAAGCGGTCAATAGTTCACATCGTTTACATTCGGGTAATGAAATCGGGTACAAACAATCAAATTGCTACAAACAAACAAACAAACAAACAAATACAAAAAATTTGCATCTGTTTGTTAATTTTATTAAATATTATTATTATTATTATTATTATTATCGATTTATTTTTGGCCCGTTTAATAATTATAATATACAAATAAATAATTAAATAATAAATTATTATTGGTGAATATAAATAAAATCCATGTGCAGGACAAGGTTTATTAAATATATATAAATTTTTTTATTTTTTTTTTTTTAGGTACTCGTAAGGTATGTAAAAGTACCTAATGAGTTTTTTTTTTTGGTTGATATTTTCCGATTACGTAACCCCAGCCAAAACAAAAGATTGCATTATGTAATTAATTAAAATTCACGCAGTCATTTACGACGCCATTCATTTGATTGCTAGCAAAAAAAAAAAAAAAAAAAAAAAAAAAAAATGTAAATTCAAACGTCGTGACTTAACAAGGGAATATCATAATATTTTTTCGTTTTTGATTTGTCACAGGGAAACAACCAGAAAATGGGATGAGTTCGACCGCAAACTTCGCTCAACAAAACGTATTTGGGTTTTATGGGACGATAACGTCCCTGATTTTTAATTTGTTCGATTCCGGTTTCGTCTCCGAAAATCCCTTGCAATTGCACTGAAAGCATGGCAATAACCAAAATTCCAAAAAGGACGCTTTCGATGGCAAGAACTATGCAATGCATTCTAAAAAAAAAAGAAAGAGGAAATGTAGATGTTGGAATAATCAATCAATCAATCAATCAATCGATGGAGAAGTTATGGAATGCGGAAAACTTACATTCTTCTCTCTTGTTCGACAACATCTTGGCTACAGTCTGGACAATCTTTAAACCAAGATGCTAAGATTAAAATGACAGAATATATTGACAGAGCACCGACATACATTAAAAATTGTATGAAGTATTTTTGGTTTCTTTCTCCGACACAATTATTTATCCTACGATAGAAAAAAATTCATCTTTAAAATGAGGGAAAACAGACATTTTTAACAATAATTTAATATTTTTCAGCTTACCAAGGACAGTGATGATCCATTCTCCTTATGCACCTCTTACAAGTTCTACAGTGATGAGCTCTTGGTGGCCTGTATGTTTCACATTTTGCACATACTGTCCAATTGGTATCAATGTCGTGATCCTTCGATCCTGAATACATGTCAGAAAAATCTACTTTGTTTTGAGGAAGCGGAACTATTCCAGGATCTGAGCAAACTGCTTTCACATGAGCTATCATTAAAAGTAAGATTATTAAATTGAATAATATTATATTGAATGATCCCCAAGCACTGAAAAAAAAGGAATCAGTAATCAGTACTTGTGTATCGATACACAAACAAACATGAACACTCGCATAGTTTACTCTGCGATTAATTAGGTCATATCGAAACATTCTCTTATTAATTGCAACATGAAAACGATAAATTTTTTTAAAATTTGATACATTTTCAAAACGTGTATTAGACAAAGATAAAAAATTTCGTTCTAAATTTTAATTTATTATAAAAAAAAATGTCTTATCTTATCCCGTTTTTTAAAATTTACCTGTTTTGCATTGTGTAGATAATCACCCATTTGATAACGGCATAATCCGCGTAAAAAATGGACAAATAGGTGACGAAAATACAAATAACACCGTATGGATCCTTAACGAATATTGTCATTTCCAACTGTGAGGTGGGGTGGGGCGGGGGGAAAAAGGAAGAGGAAAGAAGGGGGGGAGGGAAAAAAGAAAATTTTTTATTGTTATTATTATTATTGTTGTTGTTAATTGTCACGTTTTCATATGGTTTTTCATTTTAGGCATTAATAACGTTAAAGAAAAACAAAATTATCATATTCGAACCGAGTTTTGAATAAATACGTTACGATTAAACGAATATCGATCATGTCTTTCGCGAATCGAAAACGTATGGATTTAGAAAAAAAAAAATTTAAACTATTACAAAAAACGAAGTATTGTTAATAAAAATAAACATAGACGGATCACGTACGTGTGCGTACGAAAGAGTTTGACGTTTGAAAAAAAAAAAAAAATAACAGTTGGCAGCACTGAAGTAAATTTTTTGTATTTAGTGCAGTGACTGTTTAGTAACGGAAAAATGACTCATAAACATTTTATATTTAAAAGAAAAACGGTGTGTTTTTTTTTTTTTTTTATTCGCGTTTTAATTCTTCGTAAAATTTGTTTTTAAATTCAAGGGAGAAAAATGTGTGACGCGCACACGGTTACATTTACGGAAAAATATTTTTTCTTTTTTTTTTTTTTTTTTTGATTATCGTTCATAAAATTATTTTATGGTTTTCGTATTTGATCACGTGATATATGTATCAGCAGAAATAAGCAGATACAAAAAAAAAAAAAATTTTTGTAAAGCATTGTTCGTTTACAATCAATCGTATCGCGTTGGTTTTTTTTTTTTTTTTTTTGGAAATGAGTTAAATATTTAGGTGAAAATGGAGGGAAATTGGAGTTGGGTCGAAATGTGCGGGCCGGGCGGATTAGTGCCATGGTACCCATCCAAAAGAGATATTGGAAGTTGTTTTCAACAATTATTTTTACTTGTGCCAGTGTCTATCATATTTGCCATTGTGTCCGCTTATTATTGCGGTTCGAAATCCGACAGAACTCGATATCAAAATCGAAAATGCATAATTCAGTCGAGATTTACAGTTTCTTTATTAATAGCAATTATTCCAGTTATCAGATTCATTGTCGGTTCTCAGTACGCATTCGAAATGTTCCGTCCCGTAGATTATTTAACGGCAGGAGTGGAAATTATTGCTTGGTTCGTACATTCGGGATACGTTTTATCCCTAAGGCACGAAAACAAAATCCACGGTCCGGTAATCGTTCGAGTTTTATGGACACTATTAGTTATTTTAGCTGTGATCAATCTCAGAAGTCAGATTTTAACTTCACATTCCAATGATGATTTCGTATATCATGTTAAATTTGGTTTTTCATTCACACTCGTTTTTCTACAAATATGTTACGGTTTGACTTTTTTTTTCTCCTGTGGAAGTTCTCAATCCAGTTATCAAATGTATGATAGGTATTCAAGGTACACAGAGCGTTCTCGTTTGCTCACTTCGACAACCTTTCACGGTTTTGTCGAAGATGTCGATTCAGAAGATTTGGGAGTAGCCATGGAAAATGAATCTTTCACATCGAAATTAATTTTTCATTGGGTTTATTTTCTAATGAAAAAAGGTTTGATTTTCCTTTTTACTTCAAGTTTTTTTTTCATTTGTACAAAAAAATTAATTTTTTTTTGTTTTTATTTTTATTCAGGATCTGAAAAGAAATTAAAAACCTGTGATGATCTATTCGATTTGCCCAGCGAAATGAATTCGTTTTATCTCAGAACGAAAATGAATTCTGCCATGGGTGTAGTTCCAAAACCTGAAGACGTAACCGTATATGGTTCGACAGATGTCTCCATCTTACCAAAACCTGAAAAAATTACCTTGCTAAAAGCTTTACATAAATGTTTCAAATTTGAATTTTACTCCATCGGAGTGTTAAAACTTTGTAGTGATGTTTTAAATTTTGGTGGTCCTCTTTTACTTAACAGATTGGTTACATTCATCGAGAGTAAAGAGGAAAAATTAGATACAGGATTATATTGTGCATTTGGACTTTTCCTCACAACATTTTTCGGAGCTTTAACAAATGTTCATTTTAATTTTTTTATGACAAAAGTAGGTCTTAAACTCAGGGGAGCCTTAATTGGGACAATCTATAGCAAAACATTGAATACAGTGTATTTAGACATAAATAAATTTAGTACTGGTGAAATAATTAATTTTATGAGTGTCGACACAGAAAGAGTTGTTAATTCTTGTGCCAGTTTTCATTCTCTATGGAGTATTCCATTACAGGTAGAAAAAATTTTTGAAATCGATAATATTTATGTGAATTCTCACCTGATTTTTTTCTTTTTTTTTTTTTTTTTTACAGTTAATTGTTACATTTTATCTTTTGTATTCGCAAGTTGGAGTTGCTTTTTTAGCTGGAGTCATATTTACAGTTTTATTAATACCAATCAACAAAGCAATAGCATCAAAAATATGTGAATATAGCGTTAAACTCATGGAACAGAAAGATCAAAGAGTTTCAACGACGACGGAAATGCTCCAGGGCATAAGAGTGTTGAAAATTCACGTTTGGGAACAATTTTTTTTGGAAAAAATTCTTAAAATTCGTAACGTCGAAATAAAACATTTGAAATCGAGGAAATATTTGGATGCTTTATGCGTTTACTTTTGGGCCACGACACCGATAATAATATCGACTCTCACTTTTGCAACGTATTCGTTGTTGGGCAATCAATTGACTGCTGCCACCGTTTTCACAACCATGGCTCTTCTTAACATGTTAATTGCTCCGTTAAATGCTTTTCCCTGGATATTGAACGGTTTAACGGAAGCTTGGGTGTCGATAAATAGAATTCAAAAATTATTGGATTCCAAAGATAATAATTTCAGGGAATATTACGAGAATAAGTTTCAAGAGCAAGATGTAATTTACTCTTTAAAACATTGCAAGTTTAAATGGCAGTCGGACGACGACAGTTTGAAAAAAAATTCCGAGGTGAGAATTTGAATGATTCCATAACATTTTCGTACTTTTACTCGTTTTCATTAGACTCTTTATTTTTGTTGAAGGGATCAGAAGAAGTCAATGGGTCGGAAACGGATAACAATCAAATGAATCCACTGTTAATTAACGAAACGGAAACTATAAACTTTTGGGAAAGTCAAAGTCCTCCAGAGTCGGAAAGTCATTTTGTTTTAGATATTGTTAACTTAGTCGTAAGAGAAGGTAATCTAGTCGGAGTGATTGGTCCTGTGGGAAGTGGTAAAAGTACATTTTTATCCGCTCTCATTGGTGAAATTAACAAAATAAGAGGAAATATTACAATGAGGAACATCGAAGGAGGTAGTACGAATAGGAGGTCGTTTTTCGATCGAAAACGAAAACAAATTCAACTGAATTCGCTTGTTTGCCTATAGGGTGCGCTTTGGTGACTCAAACTCCCTGGATTCAAAGGGGAACCATTAGAGATAATATATTATTCGGGAAAAGTTACGATAGTTTATGGTATAAGAGTGTCATAGATGGTTGTTGCTTAACCGCCGATATTGAATTACTTCAGGGAGGAGATTTGGCTAGCGTTGGGGAAGGAGGAATGACTTTAAGCGGAGGTCAAAGGGCTAGAGTTGCACTTGCGAGAGCTGTGTACCAGGTAGAAAAATTTAATACAATGAACGTTGTAGCGGATTTTTTTTTTTTTTTTTAATCTTAATTATTTTTCAGAACAGGGACATTTACCTGTTGGACGATGTACTCGCCTCCGTCGATGTTCGCGTCGCGAGAGTCATATTTAATAAAGTTATATGCGGTTTGTTAAAAGACAAAACGAGAATTTTATGTACCAATAACCTTCAACTTTTAATCAATGCAGACTTAATAATAAAATTAAATAAAGGAAAAGTGGAAGCCGTCGGTAGGTTCTCGTGTGTTCCCTCAGGAAAAAAATAAAGTCTTTAACGTCAAATTGATATTTGTTATATATAACTTTTTGTTTTTTAGGGAAACCATCCGAAATACTGGATCGTTTTGAAGAATTCAACAATTTTGAAATCGAGTGTTCTTCCCCGTCCGAAGGTGACAAAGAAGTTTTGACAAACGAAAATAAAAACATTGTCGAATCGGATTTAGAATCAAAAGAATCTGGAGCCATAAGTGCGAGAGTGTATAAAACGTATTGGACGTCAATCGGTCATTTTTTATCCATTCTCATTTTATTATCGGTGACTTTGATGCAAGCGTCGCGAAACGTGACGGATTATTGGCTGTCGTGTTGGGTATCGGAAGAAGGGAAATACAATTCCACGGGAGATCCTTTTCCCGACTGGAGCGAATCGATCAAAAAACATTATCTCGAAGTTTACGGGATTTTAGCTTTCATGAACACCATATTTACGTTCATGCGAGCATTTTTATTCGCTTACGGAACCATACAAGCCGCCGTCGTCGTACACGAGAAATTACTCAAGAAAATATTGTCGTCGAAAATCGTTTTCTTCGACATTTCACCCATCGGAAGAATATTGAATCGATTTTCGAGCGACACATACACCATAGACGACTCTCTCCCCTTCATTTTGAATATTTTTCTCGCTCAGCTTTTCGGTTTACTCGGGTCCGTAGCGATGACCATTTACGGACTCCCCTGGCTGTGTTTAATTTTAGTGCCTTTAGTACCGATATATTATCACGTTCAAACGTCATATCGAAACGCGTCCAGAGAACTCAGACGATTGTGCAGCGTTAGCCTGAGTCCACTTTTTTGTCATCTCCACGAAACTTTACAGGGTTTGACGACGATCAGAGCTTTCAGGTGAGTCGAGCGTTGAACTTTGACCTTAGGCATACAAGTAAGAGCACACTTTTCGAATTTGCACGATTTTTAATTTTTTTTTTTAGGACGTTGACTCGATTCAGGCAAAGGAGCGACGAATATTTGGAACGTAATCAGAAAGCTATTTTTGCCAATCAAGCTGCCAATCAGTGGCTAAGTTTCAACTTGCAAATGATCGGCGTGGTGTTGGTAACCGGATGCGCCGTGATAGCAGCCTTGCAGCACAAATTCGACGTCGTGGATTCCGCCATCATTGGATTAATTATATCCTACTCGTTATCGACGACGTCACTTTTAAACGGTGTCGTGTCTTCATTCACGGAAACGGAAAAGGAAATGATTTCGATGGAAAGAGTGGGTCAATATTTGGACGAGATAGAATCCGAGGTGAGGCATTAGCGTTCGGTGGAAAACTTTTTTCCAATTTTAAATTTGGAATTAAAAAGAGGAGGGAATTTGTTTTTGCAGTCGGAAGATGGTAACAGTCCTCCGTACGGTTGGCTCAGTCAAGGCGTCATCATTTTCCAAGGAGTTTATTTAAAATACCGGGAACACATTCCACCGAGTCTCAACGGTGTGAGTTTTGAAATTCGTCCGGCGGAAAAAGTCGGGATCGTCGGGAGAACGGGAGCTGGAAAAAGCAGTTTGTTCGCCGCACTTTTGAGATTGGTCAATTTGGCGAGTGGAAAAATCATAATCGATACCGTAAACATAAATCATATCAGTCTCCAGTCGCTGAGGTTATTTTTCCTGGAACAATATTATTTTTCAAAAGAAAAAAAAAATCAGGTTTTCCGTTGTACTCAATTCGATTTTCGTTTCAGATCGAGAATTTCCGTGATTCCTCAAGATCCTTTTTTGTTCGAGGGTTCGGTGAGAGTAAACATCGATCCCCTGGAAGAATTCACGGACTCGCAAATAATGAACGCTCTTCAAAAGTGTCACATGAAAATGGCCGTCGAAAGGTTGGGAGGTTTGCAAGCGAAAATAACGTCGGGAGGGAAAAATTTTTCTCAGGGAGAAAGGCAACTTTTGTGCCTCGCGAGAGCGGTTTTGAAAAACGCAAAAGTAAATTTTTTTTTAATCTATTATAGAGAAAAGAAAAAAAAACGTTGGAACGTTTTCTCCATTTTTCTTTTTTTTTTTTCTAATCCGACAGATCGTTTGCGTTGACGAAGCGACAGCATTCGTCGACACAGAAAGCGATAAGAAAATCCAGCACACGATTCGTTCATGTTTTCGTCAGAGCACCGTGTTGACGATCGCTCATCGCATATCGACCGTCATGGACTGCGATAGAATTTTAGTTTTAAACGATGGCGAAGTCGTCGAATTCGACGCTCCAAAAACTTTGGCTCTCGATAAAACGTCGTATTTTCATCAGTTGTGCCAACAGGAAATTCACTAGGAATCTTCTCTCTCTCTCTCTATCTATCTATCTATCTATCTCTCTCTGTCTCTCTCTCTCTCCCTCTTATCTCTCTCTATCTATCTCTCTATCTCTATCTCTTACTTTTTCTATCCAAAAAGGAAAGAAAAACACTAAGTAATATAAGAAATGCGCAGTGCGGCGACATCTTATCTTTATAATTGTTAATAATAATTATTTATTTTAATTTTTAACCCCCTTTTTTTTTTTACAAGCAGTTTGCAAGCCTGATATTTCAATTATTATTACCATTATTAGTAAAGAAAACGAAGGGAAGGGGGGGGGAGGGAAATGAAAATAATTTTTTAAATTATTATTATTATTATTATTATTACTAAATATAAATTTTAAATAAAAAAATACAAATATATTTATATATAATAATATATTTAAAAAATTAGAAGAATTTCCCAAGTGTCGTGTAACGACTTATCAAATGATACCTCCAGGATTCGTAAAATAATAATAATAATAATGATGAAGACACCCAACTACAAGAGGGCGGGGGTGGTATTCGAGTAATAAAATGGAAAATTTTTCGGTGAAAGGTTTTTTTTTATTTTTTATTTTTTATAAATAGGATTGTTTAAAAGAATACAATAGAAAAGGAAAGAAAAAGATGATGAATTAACATACCTGTAAAGTAGAACAAAAAATTTTTCAACGATTCGAGTCGTTTTTTTTTTAAATTTTAATTTCAAAAGGGATTAACCGTCAATTGTTTATAATTAAAAAAAATTTTTTTTCTTTTAGGAATCGATCGATTATCATTATTATCGTTCGAGCCATCGCGATATATCGATATTTTGACGTCGCACGTTTTTCTTTTCTTTCATCTTCTTTCCTCTTTTTTCTCTTTTTCTTCTTCTTCTTCTAATATTTAAATGATTTAATGACGTAATAGGTAATGTATACGAGGAGGCGAATAAAAAAAGCGGTTCCAACGGTTTTCTAGCGTGCCGACGCGCGCACCATCTCGCGGACGTTAAATAAATTTACTTTATGCCGTTTTAACATTAAACCTAATATATACCTGTAATAGGTGACGTATATGTTGAAAAACCACGTGACTAGTACAAACCAATGAGAGCGTTATTTATAACGAAAGAGAGCGAGAGAGAGGACGAAAAGTAAAAATAATAAAATAAAATTTTTTTTACTCAGTTGGTAAGAAAAACTCGTCGGCGCATGACGTATACAACACCGTCGCGTAACCTAACGAAAATTTTTTTTTTTTAATAATAATAATATTAATTTTATATTTACTATTACGAGTTTGTGTTAAAAAAAAAAAAAAAATTGCGTCGTTTGGACAAAAAGGATTTTTTTGAATTTTGGAAAATCGTCAACGTTGCCGTCGGGAAATTTGGCACCAATGGGAAATTCTTTTTTTTTGAAATAACCGAAAAAGAACAATTTTATTAGACGTTTGAATAATTTTGACGTTGTAAGGTGAATAAAAAAAAAATTTTACTTTTTTAATTTTTTTTTTTTTTTTATTTAAAAATGGGCGTGTGTGTGCGTAAGTGCGTAAGTGTGAATACGCGCGTATGTGATTTACCTTGAAAAAATTTTATTTCGTTCGATTTTACTTCGAAAGAAAAAAAGAAAAAAAAACGTTCGTGATTGATTTTGAAAAAGAAAACGAATAAATAGTATAAACCAGGTACGAAACGTTCGAAGCCATTTTTTTTTTTTTTTCATTATTATTATTATCATTAATATCATCATCATCATCACGCGAAACGTTCGACGATGGCTCCGAACGTTTTTTTTTTTTTTTTTTTTTTTTTTTAAATAAAAAATGTTTTTTAATGGAGTCGGTTAATTACCTCATCATCAGGTGTGCGTGCGTGAACTTTGTTCGAATCCACCAACCGTCGCACATTCCATTCCAAATTTTTTTTTTTTTTCGGTTTTATTATCATCATCATCGTCGTCGTCGTCGTCTAAGCGTCAGCAATGTTGCCGTCGTTCTTTTTTTCTTTTTTTTCTACCTGTCGATTCGTAACGGAAAATATTTATTATTATTATTATTATTATGTAAATTGTGTCGATGCCGTCGCGTTTTTGTTTGTATCGTTATGAAATTTTTTTTCCTTTTTTTTTTTTTTTTTCTACATAAACCGCCTAAACGCGAACGGATTTGAAACGTTCGAACGGTTAGAATAAAAAATTAAAAAAATTTTTTTGTTAAACGTTTGCTTACGTCACGCGTCGGTTAAAACGAACGAATTTGAAAAAAAAAACGGTTTTTCTCCTCATCCCTCTCACCCCCATTTCCCCTCCATCCCTCTCTCTTCCCCTCCACCCTCTTCTCTCTACGTCACTCCATCGTTGTTGTAAATTTTCGTTTGAAAATGAATAAATTATTACTCATTACGTCTAAAAAAAAAAAAAAATGTCGGTTAGTGTTAATATTAATAATAATAATAATAATAAAAATTACGTCGATGTGTAATGAATCACACAGGTGATGTCTGGCATTGATTAAGATTTTATTATTATTATTATTATTATTAATATTATTAATAATAATCATATTTTACGTAATATCCTTCGCTTCAATAATAATAATAATTTTTTTTATAGGTGAGGAGGAGGGGAAGGGGTTTGTGCGAGTGTATAAATTAAATCAATCGTTTAATTTGAATTTTTTAAAAAAATAAATCGTATTCGCGAAAAAAACGACCGTTAATTTTTTACCGCGCACCCCCACCACCACATTCCAGTTCAATGGCGGTCCGAAACGACGTCGGTTATGTAATTAGAAAGTGTTTTTATTTTCTTATCGTTGTAATTATTAATGCATCATCCGGGGCCCCCCCTCTGTCCCTGCCCCCTCCCTCCCCCCATAGATCACACTCTGATTATTATTATTTTTTTTTTTTTTTGCACCTTTTAAAAAGAATTTAAATTAATTTCGGTTAAGTAATTAATTAATTAATTAATTTTGTATTTCCGGTTTGATTTACGTCTCGCGTTCGTCTTACCTTATTACGCTGCGCTCTATCGGTGAAAAATGAAATTAATTTTTTAATTTTTTTTTTAATTTTTCAGGATTTGCCAAGAAAGAATTTAACGGATATCCCGTCTAGTCGTCGTTAGAAAACGTTGGGGAAAAAAGAAAAAAAAGTTTTTCTGGATGACAAGAGCGGAAACGATATCGTTCAAACGATAGATAATGATATCGTGATTACGATAAGAGAAATAATTAAAAAAAACGATGAAAATATTTAAAATTAAAAAAAAAAATTTGTTATCATGGCGGACGTTATGGTTTTTGTGCGGGTTGTTCGTGTCTGCGACAACCGGACAACAATCATCGAACGAAAACAATTACAATAGTAAAAATCGATTTTATTCACCGTGGAACGTTCCGAATCCTCCGTCCTCGCCTCATCACGATGGGTATCACGGTAGCAACGTGGATAATAGTTTGGGTGGAACGCGAGAGCAACAACAACAACAACAGCATTTGGCCGATCACGGCAACAGCATAGATCATAGAATTTTTTCAACGGCGAACAAATACGACGTCGTGACTATCGAACCCGAAATTCCAGGAGGGAGAAATGATAAAAACACGCCACTCTACGGTGGAACCATTGACGGACCGATAAGACTGGAAAAAAGCAAAAGTCCATACGTCGTACGTGAGGACGTCATCATTGACAAGAATGGAGAAATGATAATTGAACCTGGAGTCACTGTTAAATTTTCTCCAATGGTCGGTTTAACCGTTCGAGGGATTTTAAACGTTCGGGTGAGTAAAATTTTCATTTTATTTTTTTTTTTTTTATCTTCTGCTTTCTATCGAAAAACAATAATCGATAACCATTGTTGAAAAAAAAAACAAAAACAAACATGGCGCGCGCGGGGAAGGGTATTCTCGCATGGAGAACAATAAAAAAATTACACAACGCGAACCGATCCACCATTTTTAAATTTTTATTTCGAACGTGTCTTTAATATTAATTGAACTTTTCAACCGTTCGACTTTTTTTTTTTTTTTTTCGTTTGGAAAAGTTGGCACGATTGGAATTCTCGACAGTCGCTATTAACGTTTGAATCCCACGCGAGAATTATTTTATTACTATTATTATTATTATTATTATTATCTCACGCGGTTTTATTCTAACGTAATAATTGAGTGATTGAATGAATTCATTCCGATCGATTGATCGAATGAATGAATGAATGAATAATTGATGACAGATTGGCACGATAATAACGATGTATCGATTCTTGTCGTTTTGTTGTTGTTGTTGTTGTCCGACGACATGTTTTTTAAACGTGCGATTATAGTTTGTCGTTTGTATTGAATGTTGTTTGCCTTCCGTCGTTGTTTAAATTTTTCGAATTTTTCTCGAAAGGAAAATTTTTTTTTTTTAAATTTTCCGTTTAAAAAAAATAACAAGGCCGTATCGTTTCTCATCGTTATCAGAGATAATGATTCGTTGGGTTGTTTGTATTTACACGAGTCGTAATTAAAAAAATGCTAATGTCAGGGCCGTAGCCATGCATTTTTTTTTTTTTTGGTTAAAATCGTTTGTACGCCCCCGGGGGGAGGGGCGATCGGTCTTTGTAAAATGTTAGTTTTTTTTCAGGTCCCACGATTTTTTTTTTTTTGTTTTTTCGCAACTTTTACAAAATTTTCTTTCTGGTTGTTGTTGACACGGTTGTTGCGTTGACAGTGGCGTCGTCGATGATATCGAACGAATCACATCGCTCTGTGAAAAAAAAAAAAATTCTTTTCGAACTGTGGAAATTGGGTCAATGCCTTTTTCGAACAAAGAAAAACATTTAATGAAAGAAAGAAAGAAAGAAGAAAGAAAAGTAACAAATGACTTAATCTCGGTTGGTATACCTGCCTCAGTTCGTCGTCACTTGGCGAGGAGGTGAACGTTCTCGGATAGATTATCTGACAAAATTTATACAAAGCACCGGAATTGCCACATTCGTATATTTACAAACCGTAAAAGAGAAAATGAGAAGACGTGGAAATAGAAATGATGATGATAATAATAATAGTCGCGTGCTTTGGGAAAAAATGTGTGACATTAGAGTAGGACGTTCGTCGCGTGGCGAATTTCGTGTACGAACGGGGGGGGGGGAAGAAAAATTCAACCGGAAGTCAAATTTACCTTTTTCTTTCTGGAATCTAAATGATGAGAACGTAATTTTGTTGTTGTTGTGGTTGTTGTCCATCTCGGATTCGTTCGATTTAAAATTCACTTATCCAGAAAAATTCCACGGTTTATGATTTTGTGAACAATTAAAAAAAAAAAAAAAAGGTTTCACCTAGTACGTATTTGTTACACACGTTTATGCCTTAACATGAAAAACAATGATGAATGAAAACAACAACAACAACAAACGCAACAAACACACGCACACACATCCTGTTTTATATTGTATTTCATTTCGATTGGCTTTTTTAATTTTCTCCAGGTTTAGGTTTTTTTGTTGATGTTGGATTTTAACCCTCGAATGAGTTTTAATAAAACGAAAAATACGACGTCATCGTTCATTCATTCATTAATTTATCACGTGATTGATCACGTGGATTTTTCAACCTGTGGGAAAGTTTTCGTTTTTTGGAAAAGTTTGTCGTTTGTGCAGGAAATTGTGAGTAAATCGTCGACGCGAGAAAACGTAAATCCGTTTTTTTTTTTTTTTTTTTTTTTTGAAATCGTGGTATTAGATCGGAATAATAACGTGTAACTAACCATCGAATTAATTTTGTCAAAAACGTAAAAAAAATTGGAATTAATTCCAATTACGTTTCTACCCACTGCGAAAACGTGTGTGTGAGAGAGAGAGAGAGAGAAACAATTTAAGAGGTCACGACGGAGTTGCCAACTTTTGATTAAATCTTTTTTTTTTTGTATAAAATAGTAAAAATCTCGTTTATTTACTCTATGAATTTTTTTTTTTTTCGCACAGAGGAATAAGTTTTCTTTCTTTATCGGGGGGAGAATGGGGGCGGGGGGGGGGAGATTCACGTTTGATTACAAACCGAATCGAGTCGTGTTGTGTAAATACCAAGGTCGGTGTGTTTTTTTTCCATTCTTTCTTTTTTTTCTCCAGAGAATGCTGGAGAACTTTTACAATCAAAAATTTATTTATTTATTTATGTATTTATTTATTAACTTTTATATTCACTCTGGCGTGAATATAATTATCCGGGATGTTTGTGTAATTTTCAAATTTTTTTTTTTTTACTTCTCGATTTCCTTTCTCTCTCTCTCTCTCTCTCTCTCTCTCTCTCTCTATTGCAAATCATTTATGTCTTTTTTCTTATTGCCTGGTCACGTTAAATTTTTAAGGTTAAATCGCTCGAGAGGGTAGGGAGGGGGAAGGGGGGGGGGCAAAATTAGGAAAAAAAAAATGAAAAATGACTCTTGACTAAGTAATTTCGTTTAAACGAAACTTTAATTACGTGTTAAATGAAAAAAAAAAAAAAAAAATTTTAATTTAAAAATGAAAAAAAAAAAAAAGTCATCGTGGCGTTAGATTTATTTTACCTCTCTCTCTCTCTCTCTCTCTCTCTCTCTCTCTCTCTCTCTTTCATTCTTTTGTCAAAGTGAAATCGGAGAAAAAAATGCAAAGAGAAAAATATGTTAAAATGCAGGAAAGACACATTATTGTTGTTTTCTTTTTGGGAAAATTACTATTTTTTCTTTTTTATCTGGGTTAGGGAAAGTTTTTTTATTTATTTTTCTAGTGACACGAACGGTAAAATAAAAAACAAATTTTCTACGGCCAGGGGTTATTTATAATTTAATTATTTTTTTTTATTTTTTCGTGCCGAAAAACTTTTTTTTTCTCTCTATCTAACAATCGAATCGTAGAGTTAGTTAAACTATTTAATTTTTTTGTTCGATCCATCGATCGATACATCGATCGATGGATCGATAAATCGTTAAGAAAAAAAAAAAAGAAAGAAAAAAGCTGAACGTCGTGATTTGGGTGATTCTCCCCTGACCAATAAATCAATTTAAAATGAAAGATGACGATGATAATAATAATAATAATAATAATAATAGTAATTATAATAAAACGGACGAATTTAATCGTGCGAAACTCGAATCGAAATAATAATAATAATAATAACGATAATGATAATAATGATAAACGATGAAGTTTAGGTTTTTTTTTTTTGAAAATTTAAAAAGATGCACGTGCGTTACAAAAATAAAAAGTGGCATTAGAATTTTTTAAAAAAAAAAAAAAAACGTCGTAGACACTAATTTTTTCCTTTCGAATTCCATCGAGTTAATAATAATAATAATGATAATGATAATGATAATAAATGTCATTGTAACGTGTTGAAATAATTAATTATATATTATTATTATTATTATTGTTTCGATGATCGACGAAGATATTTCGTATAATTGTTTTGACAGATGTAAGCAAAATTTATTTGGGTCACTGGTTCGCGTACCTGATGAGTGAAGAATGAACGATTGTTGTTGTTGTTGTTGACTTTTTGCGAAGTTTCATCGTTTGTTCCATTCAAATTTTGTTTGTTTTAAAAAATTGTATGAGAAAGCAAAAAAAAAAAAAGGAAAAAAAAACCAATCGAATCAATTTTTTGTTTGTTCGTTTGTTTGTTTGTATTTTAGAAAGGTCGCGACGCGTTTGCAAATTTTTTTAACTTTAAGTTCGATATATCGAATTTAAAATTTAAAAAAATTGCCCTCCCCCGCTTTTTGTATTACGCTTTGAGAAATCGTTGGTAGAAATCGAAATAAGAAAAATCGATCGATCGATCGATCGTTCTATTTTCCTTGCGATTTTTTTACTTTATGATTTATTCTCGTTTAACCGGAAGGGTACTGAACTCTTGGAGTTTATAAACAATGATTTAAATAAGATCAGGTAGCGAAACGATTCGTTAAAGTCGAAGGGAAAAAGAAAAAAAAAAGAAACGAGAACAACGGACACAGGTAGAAATTTTTTCTCTCGTGTATAATTTTTTTTTTTTTTTTTTTTTTTTTATAGGCTGGGAAGGAAATAAAAATAATTTTTTTTTCTAATAGTTACATCCGGTTTGTCGATTTTCAGTCACCCCACTTCCTGTCTGTCATCTGATCGTTCGATTCCGTTAAAATTTTTTTTTAATCAGAATTCCCAATGGAATTTCATTTCAGATAAATGATTCGTTTCGTTTGGTTTTTTTTTTTTTTTTTATATTAAAATATTTAATTCGAGGGATGACGTCATAGGTATGGTTGGGAAAACATGTTGTGATTTCAAGGAAAGGATTCTCGAGTAGGAAAAATCACAACAACGCGTTATAGGGTATCAAGTCGAAGGACGACGCACTTTATCCCGTGCCAATTTTTATTCTCCGCCTTCGAGTCGTGCGTGGAATCAAGGTGCGAGGAGGTTAATCGCTCGTTCTAGAAATGCGTTTGCAATTCGACCCCCTCCCCCACCCCATCCCACCCCCCTTACGTTTGGAAAAAATTTTATAAAATTTGTTTGACCGGTCGGTAACGAACGATACCTAATTATGCGTGGGTGCACGGATGCGTGTGTGAATGCGTTCGTAAGTACTTTTCGGTAGCGAGGAAAAAATTATCATTATTATTATTATTATTTAGTCTGACGTTAATTTAAAAGAACAGCAGTAGACGAAAACGAAAATAATAATAATAATAATAATGATTATTATTATCAGGTGTTAAATAATACCGGAAATTCGAAATGCAAATGAAATTTGGCAACGTCTCTTTTTCCTCTCTACTACCTGGACGAATCGTAAAATTTTATGACCGGAAATTGATAAATTTTTTTTTTTTAATTTTAAATCGTAATGGTAATAATAATAATAATAAGTTACAGTAAACGATTTCAAACGCATTGTTGAAATAATAATAATATTAATACCAGAGTATACCTGAAAACGAATCGCATTGATGATAATAACTAAAAATTTTTTTCATAACGGAACAATCGACCGAAATTTTTTTTTTTTTTTTTTGTAACGTTTCGAATGTGGTTGTGGTTGTTGTTGTTGTTGTTGTTTGTTATTAATTAATTTGTTTAACCGTAAAAAATTTATGGAAATTATTATTATTATTAATATTAATATTAATACTACTTGAACCGTTCGGATGTGTATAATAATAATAATAATAATAAAACACCGAAAAAAAAAAACAAAAAACTTTACTTCCGGTTTTCTTTTTACTTTACCGTTTTTAAGTATAAATTAAGTAATTTTTTTTTCCCCGTCGTGACGTCATAAATTTTTCATTAAATTGTTCAGTCGAGAGGTATTCTTGCCATTGTGATCGTTGTTGTTGTTGTTGTTGTTCGTTGACCTCCAAAAAAAACATCTGCCCCATGATGATGATGATGATGGGTAGAAAGAAAAAATCTCTCACACGGAAACGGTTGGTTCGAGTATTTGTGACCTTGAACTTGTACGTCTTCTGCTCGTACCTATGATACATATCACCTGATGTTCTTACGTAAATGATTCTTTCCTTTTCTTCCTCGTACCTTTTCTGTCGAACGTTCTGGAAAAAAATAAAAACGAATTAATTTATCAATATTTTTGTGTTGTTGTTGTCGTTGTCGTCGTTATTGTTGTAGTTGTTGTTGTTGTGTTTGTTTTCGTAGTTGTTGTTGTTGTTGTTGTTGTCGTTTTTTAAGGTTCGAAATAAAAAAACGGTGGGAATCGAAACGACGATTAATTTAATTATCGATTATCGTACAAATCAACAAGCAGAAGACGAAAAATTTAACAAACGAAACCGTTAGAAAATGACACTTTCTCGATTATGAACGTTAGCCGAACGTTGTAAATTAAAAAACCGTTAGAAGGAAAGGGGGAGGAGAGGGGAGTGGGGAGGGGGGAAAGAAAAACCGACGGAGTATCGATTCGTGATTTTTTTTTTTTTTTTTTCGGATTGCAAACGTGATCAGACATGAAAAAGTAATTATTTTCCATTCGTAAAAAAAAAAAATAATTGGTAATAATTATTACTAACGAGGTGATGGTGGTGGTGGTGGTGGTGGTAGTGGTGATGATAATAAATAAATTAACAAGCAGACGACGACGACGATTCGCTTTATTTTTCGCTTAATTATTAAATGAGATGATTGTAATGACGTCATAATCGTAACCTACGTACGTATAATTACTTATTACTTCATTTTTTAATTGGTGACCGCGATGTGTGTGATTATCGTTTCCCATTCATTCATTCATTCATTCATTCATTCATTCACTGACTAGTACTTCCGGGGGAGAGAAAATTTTTTTTTTTTTTTTTCTAATCCAGATTTCCGTCCGATTCGCGGATAATTCGCGATTTTCATCACGTGGTGGAAATGATAGAAAAAAAAAAAAAAAAAAAAAGCGTCTCGCACGTTTTCGTGGTAGTTTCGTTCACGTCACGTGACGGGTGAAAAGGTCATCGTAATTTTGTCCGGGGTCGCGACACATTCTCGAATTGTTTTTAATAAGTCTTATTACTTCCTGTCCCGATTGAAAAATTTTTTTTCTTACGTAATAATTCTTATTTGTTTCCTTTTGAATGCGACAAATTATATTGAGATGAAGAAAATTTCATTGTTTGTTTGTTTGTTTGTTTGTTGTTGGCATTTCTCAAGCACCGCCCAAAATTCTAGAGTTTTTCATTCGCGCACGTTTGTATTTATTTCGTAGTTGAGATTTTTTTTTTTTTTTTTTTCTTTTCGACCGTCTGGAAAAGAAATTACTTCCTTCCGCCATGTGCAAAAAAAAAAAAAAAAAAAAAATTTAATCCCGTTTCCGGAATGCCAAATTCGAAACGTAAAAATTTTTTTTTTTTTTTTTTTGCTATCATTAAGCGTAATTCACTCGATTAAAAAAACGAATAGGAGAAAATTTTTTTTTGACATATTACCTGTCAGCTTGTAACGGGACTTAATAGGTAATTAATGAAAACAACCGAGTGTATATATTTTTTTCCAGGCGGTTACATAATTTGACCCGAGATTCGAATCGAGGGGAGGGAGGAGGTGGCAGGGGAGCGGGTAGGTGGGGGGGGGAACGTACGTTCGTCGAACGAATCCGAGCCCCACTTAAGACATTAAAAAAAAAAAACTTCTCGTGTGTCGTTTTTGACGTATCTCGAAATACGCAAAAAAAAAATTTTTTTTTTTTTTTTTTTTGGTTTCATTCACTCACCTGACTAATTATTATTATTATTATTATTATTATTATTATTATTATTATTATTATTATTATTATTATTATTATTATTATTATTATTATTATTATTATTATTATTATTATTATTATTATTATTATTATTATTATTATTACAAACAAACAAACAAACGTAAACGTGATGCAAAATGTGATTCCGACTAATAGCAAAGAAAAAAAAAAAACAAACAAACAAACAAACTTTCATTTGCGCTCCTTGTTTGAAATCGTTTGAAAAATTTTTTTTTTTTTTTTTTTTGCTATACTCAATCGAATGGTTTTAAGGAGTCGTGAACGCCCGCAAAAAAAATCAGACGGTTCTTTTTTTTTTCAACAATTTTTTTTTTTTTTTGCTCTCGCTTCGATTTCTGCGTCGCAATCAAGCGTTTTTACCGGATATCAATCGTTTCTCTTCCTTCCTTAATAAAGAAAGAAACGTGGGGGGAAGGGGGGAGGAGAAACGGAAGGAAAACGGGGGGAAGGGAAAATTATGTTAATACGCACGCACGCACGCACACACAAATAATATATATTTTTCGCGTATGAGGAACAAGAAAGAAATTAACATTTACTACGATTGTAATAATAATAATAATAATAATGGGATTTATAGTAGTAGTAGTAATAATAATAATAATAATGGTAATTACGGCCGAATGTTTTTTTTTTTTTTTTTTTTTTTTTTTTTTTTTAAAAAAAAACGGGGCATTAAATTTCTATTATAATTACCGTTACCGAATTACAAAGTCGTTAAACGTGCAAAAAGAAAAAATAGTCAAAGGAAAGGAGGGGGGAGAGGAGGTGGAAGAGGGGGAGAATACACGGGCGTTAAAAAAAAAAAAAAAAAAAAAAAAAACATTACATGGTGTCATTTATTCATTTTATTTCTTTCTTTTACTATTATTATTATTATTATTATTATTATTATTATTATTATTATTATTATTATTTTTATTATTATCCACCATTAAACACGACAAGGCTACTTGTCGGAGTTTTTAAGTATTTATCCGAGGTTTCTACCCGATTCCTTAGGGACAAATACTCGAATTTCGGTAGTGCCACTTATTATAAGATAGCACCACATCAATTCTTGAAGGTCTTCCTGAGTCCGTCTTTTTCGATGGGAACGATTTGTCTCCTGAACTGGGCTCCGGTGACTAACATCTTTGGAGTGGCCAGGGTCAGAAGCAGTGAAATTCACGTTCTCGTCGAGCTGCCTCAGGTCGACAGTAGAACAAGATTTTGTTTTTGGTTCTTACTTTGTCTTGTTCTCATTTTTTTGCTCTTTTTAAGCCAACAGCACGTGGCGTTCTCAAACGGTCAGCCATCCAAGTTTGCACCACGCCCGATGCTGCTTAACTTCGGTGATCGTACGGGAACCGGTGTGACCAGCACGCTATGGCCGTTGGCTTTATTATTATTATTATTATTATTATTATTATTATTATTATTATTATTATTATTATTTTCAAACACTATGAAAGTCGTGAAATTAATTGAAACCGTTCAAAATACCTGAACGTTCGTTTAATTACCCCTTTTTCTTTTCTTTTGTTGATTGTTCCTGACCGACTAAAGTAGTAGTAATAGTAGTAGTAGTAATAGTAGTAGTAGTAATAGTAGTAGTAGTAGTAGTAGGAGGAGGAGGAGGAGGAGGAGG